CGGGCACTGGCGTGCACAGATAGAGACGAGGTGGTGCTGAAGCACTTGCCCTTTTACCCTCAGTCCAAAAAAGTGCCCTTTTTTCCCCCTGGAGCACTTGCCCCCCAAAATAGTATAATCCCCATGTTAAAGGGTCTCTAGTTTGGAGTGTCCCATAGTTTGAACATGTCCTGTGATGAGGGACCCGGGTTTCCACCAATCCATAACTGATAACTGCTGACTTCCTTTTAGTCTTAGTTTAATCTCAGCTCCCTACTAGTCAGCTCAGACTCCCGCCTTGATAGACAAAGGCTTTTTTTCGAGTTCCCATCAAACAGGAAACTCATAGACAGACTCTGTGCTTCTTCTCTGAAGACAGTTGTGAATGTCAGCCTGACAGGTTCAAAGAAGGTTTGTTATAATTCCTGTGATGGGATTCTTTCATTATGTGCCACTCTGATAATTAGGCTCTTTGTAACAAGCTAATTAGACTTTGTATTGTGAAATCACGATTGCAATTAGTGACACGAGATGAGGAGAAAGGCACCCATGTGTTTGAGCTCCCCCCCCAACCCCCCCAATGTTGTACAAATATAGGAGCAGAGAGACGGGGTTGGGGGTCCTTCAACAATACGTCCTCAGAACGTTCTAAACAGCAGGCTGTTAACATTGTCTGTTTACCCGTTCATAATCAACATATCAGTAAGGCAATTCAGAGTTCACTGCCTTGAAAACGAGAAATACATAATTGCTGTTGTCTTTAATTACGAAGTCCTAACTGAACAAGTTGATTATTTTAAGAATTGCGTTTCACGGAATGATATGCTCATAAACAGCCCCCCCCCTTCAGTTATTTTTTTTTCTTCTTCTAGATGAGGGATTGTGCTTTTGAAGGAGGGCTCAGAATCCATTTTCCTTTCCAGAATTCACTTCAAAGCTCAGTAATCCTCTGTACCCACATTTGCCCTCACACTTTATTAATCCATTTAATAATCCTGTTATGCATTTTCATATGTTTGTGTTTATGGGCTTTGTGTTTTAAGAGAAACCATGGCATGGAATTCTGCCCTTACAAAACTGGGATCTTGTCATAGTTACACCACTGAGCTCCTAGCCCATTGTGTCCTTTCCCTGACCATCCTCCTTCAAAATCATTCCCCCGAATAAAGTCCTGTCCCCTTTACCCCATGTTCTAGCCCTTCAATGCAGTAAAATCAAGTTTCATAGACTAAAAGAAGGAAGTGAGGCCCCTGAATACAGTCTTAATTTCATGCTCTGCCTTGGCATAAGGAGCTTGTCAGATTAATTCCCTTTGCTTTATTAATTTTCACTGCAATCCAGGCATAGAAAATAAACACAGTCTGGCCAGTGCAGCATGAGTTAGGCCATACGTCTTTTGCATTAAAGTATCATTACATGACTGCCTCAGACAAACCCGTTGTTGAAATAATTATCTTTGATACTCAATGTGACACAGTATGCATATAGACTTCATCCCACCCCCTGTTTTGCGTTTTTGTACCCTTTTTAAATAATTGTCAGTCTCTGTTTTTGTCACTCGCTGTCTGAATGTCACACCTTGGTCCTGGGGGAATGTTATCTCTTGCCGCTGTGTAACTTCATATGGATGGTATGACAATAAAATTCACTTATGCATCTGGTGGTGAAATTTAACAAATACAAGTAATAGCTGTGTTCTTCTAGCCATCCAACAAGATCAGTAACTTTTTGGAAGACAACAGAAATTCTTGTTGCTTTTTATTGTATTGCTGTTTATTTGTATACATTTTAATGTAATTTTTTTTCTTCTGAGCAAACATACAGTTCTTCATAGTACTGTAATTATTCTTCAACGAGAAAGAGTGAGACTGTAATTTATGATTTTACTTTTTCAAATTCTTTTATTTTTGTATGTCTCTTTTAAAATCGTTTGTGTGTATTTATCTTATGTGATTTTGCCACCTGAGGTGGGGAGAGAGTGAAAGAGAAAAGTGTTTGGTTTGTTCCTTACGTCCTGTATACAGTATATTGTGTCTTGTTACTGTCATATTAAGGCCGTGGGGAGTCCATGTTAGCACCACGGTGCGAGCTTGGCACTCTGACGCCATGGCGGTTCACAATCAGAAATCAGAAAGTGTACCTGCACAATTGCACATACAACGAAAAATAATTTGGCTCACTCCAAATAGCAGCATTAGTGAACAAGAATGGCACATTTACAAAACAATAAATAAACAATATGCACATTAAATTTATAGTAATAAATAAGGTGACAGTGCATAGATCTATATGTGACGAACCTGTGAACAAAGTGTCAGGTTTATAATGCCAGCATTAATTGTCTTGGACTTGGGTGGATGTGACACCATCAGGTTCTCATTTCTTCATGTTTTCAGTAAGAAGTCACCTCGTAATGTAGAGTGTCTCCTAACATGTGCCATTGCTGAAAGAAAGGGTAAACTGCGGTGAATTGCTTTTATTTTACTTTTCAATCGAGCAGGTTATTTAATCTTCCTTATCTTCCAGCCCCGTTTCTGCAGGAGGTCCTTGGAGATCGAGATAAACCAATTTACTCTCCCGCTCTCTAATCAGAAATCAGGCCTTGGCCTGATGAGCAGAACAGAAGGGGCGGGGGCAAGGAACTCGGTATTTGCTCAGTATTTAGCTATCGGGATTAAAGTGTAGATGAAAAATCTTCAATCAAATAATTTTTTCGTTAATTTTGCATGCAGCATCTCATTTCATGAAGCCATGATATAATAAGAATTCTGAATTATATTAGTGTTCTACTAGGGATAATGTGCATAGGAAGTTGTTCTTATAGCTTTTGCATGTAATAATTAATCTGTAGAAGCAGAATATTTACTTTTGATGCTTATGAAATCTGAGTGATTTTGTGAGATGGCATGTGGATTAACACACATCTTGAGGTAGGATTTCCCTCATTTGTGGTCATTGTGACCATTGTGTCCCAATTACAGTCATGTGACAGGAAGTAAACTCATCCGTGCTTCCACATGAAAGACCATTAGCGCTTCCATTTCTCAAGCAATGCCAAAGAGGCTGGTGAAATATAAATGAAACACTTTGCAATATGTGAGCAGCCAGTCCAACCCTCTGGGGAGAGTGATAGTTGGAGCAATGGCGGTGGGGGTGGGGGGGGGGTGCTGAATTGGTAATGGGGGGTAGTAGGAGGATCTCTGGTGAGGGTTTCAATTATGGAGAGCACTAAAATCAAATGATACTGCTACTTTGACTATAATGCACATTGTCTCATTTGCAGTTTGGAAAGGCTTTGAGCTGGCATTTGGTCTAATTGGTATTTTGATGTGAAATTATAAAAAGTCAATATTCCTTCTTGTAAAATTACGAGAGCAACAGTTTCCGGACAGCCAAATAGGCCCTATCAATCCTCAGAGAGAATGTTTAATTAGCTTAGCCTGCCGCTAGTCCACTGACTCTACACTGGCCAACTATGGTGCAGCTCTGTTGGTCTAGGCTAGAAAGTAGCCAGTGGATTGCTAGGGTGAGGAGGGTGTGAGCTCTCCCCAGCTAGACTGACGACTGAGCCTTGATGGCCGTCTGACAGCTGAGGGTGATACACTGACAGTCAGTGACAGTGTTGGGGTGATGCTCACTGACTAGATTGCTGGAACCCACTGGTGGACAACTGTGGACCATCCTAAGGTGATGGACTGAGGAATGGGCAATGTGTCTGTTTGCAGAAGGGCTGGTGTGGCAGGAGTTTGCAGACAATGTGCTGGGGGGTGGTGGCCACAGTGTTTATCATAATCTTGTGTGTGATTCATCATAGGAGGCCCAGTGCCTCGATCGGTCACATTGACACCAGAGGATAGTGGAGTACCTGCCATAATAATGACGATGGGGATGGAGAGGTGGCGAAAGAGGCAGAGATCCCATAATGCCGCTGGTCGTGTTGCAGAGGACTCTCGTCTGAATGAGGGGGGGGAGTGGGGAATGTGTCATTTTAGAGGATGCTGCTGCTCCTGACATTGGGTAATCTGCCATCTCTTTCCTGGGTGGTGCGGTGAAGGGGGATGGGTATTAAGATGAAGTGATTGTACTGCAGATTGAAATGTGTGTTTCAGGCTCTCTCCAACGGATGGTAAGATAATTTTCTAGGCCTTCCTGACATCTATTACACTTTTCAATATATAACTTAACTTTTAGTTTCAGTAAACAACTTCAATGTTCCCCTCTGTGAAGGGATTTTAAGCTGCTGGTGTCGTGTCCTGCCTGAACAACTACCTAATTATTCACTTGGTTAATTATTGTAGATGACTGCTTGATTTTCTGCGGTGTTCTCTCTTCATTTTATTAATTGATACGATTACTCACCTTACTCTCCCCTCCACCCACATCGTCTGGCCGTGCCGCTGTCCTGCTCCTGTACGAGCCCTCGGGTCATTCTGCACTCCTTGACATTACCGTAATCCTGTTTGGCTGGTCTCTGGATATTGCTTCCCTCGCTCACTGTCGCCCCCATGCTCTTTCTTCCCCCTACACTTGCTTGCTCTCTCCATCTATCCAGTCTCCTGGTGTCAATTTTGTGCTGTCTGTCAGACCGCATCCTGGACCCTGTGATTGGCTGGCAGCGGCTTTTTGCCCACTGGCACCCTCGTCGCCTCACTCAGCCACCCAGAGGTGCCCGGTAACAGTGGATGGGGGGGGGTGGTTGCTACAGAAATAAGGTGTTCCTGCGCAAAGGCACCCAGACAAGGTGACTGGCACTTTAGAATAGCGAAACAAATTTGCCCACCAGAAAGAGCCTAGGTTACTGGCAAATATTTCTACGAACGCCTCGTGCCTCGGCAAACGTGCGGCTCTCCACGGGAGGTTCTACCGTAGGTGAGGTCAGCAGTCCTGTGGTGTGACGCTAACGAGATGCTAACTTTGACAGCGTTCTGAGCTCTGTCAGAATTTGCTGGAACAGTATGACACCGTGTCGTGATTGTGAGTGTGTACTGTACGCCATGTGCAATCATCCTCTCTCCCGACAGGTTCAGACTGGTACCTGGCCAGAGTGGAACTGCTGGTCACAGATGTGAATGACAATGCCCCAGAGTGGACCATGGTCCCCTCCCCTTACCTGGCTGTGGTGTCTCCTGAAGCCCCAGCTGGGACCCTTGTGTACAAGCTCCACGCCCGTGATGGAGATGAGGGAAGCAATGGAGAGGTGGAGTATTTCCTGTCTGACGGTCAGTACTTCTTGTTCTATACTCTATTTTCCCTTCCCCAAATATTTTATATGTTTTTTTCCAGTTTGATTCCCACCTCATTCCATTGGAGGAATTTGGCTGATGTTGCGAAAAATCCACTACCCAGATTACATACAGATTTTGCCTACTAGTTATTAGTATTTTTTTGTAATTTTTCGCGAAACACTGTGAGCATTGTTTCCTGTGAGCGAGCTACCCTTTCGCATTGTGTGTGCTGTCTTGATGGAAAGTCTCATTCCAATGTTTGGCATTCACCACTGTGAGGCCCAATCGCTGCTGTTTGGTTTGCCCTTCTGTGAGAATGTCAAGCCTAATTATGGATCACGGGGGTGCACAATGGTTAGTCTTTCTGGGACTGGCATAAAGGAGTGGCTCCTTCCATAATGCTAAAAGCCAACGGTGGTGTTGGTGACCTGATGACCTGCACACAAAAGCTAATTTATGTCTAAGCATCAATGAGGCAATATGCTTCTTGTTACATTAGCAGTCACTAATGTCTGAAGTAACATATAGATGGAGAAAGCTTAGGCATAGAGAACAGGGTCAGTCAAGGTCCAGCACCCCTGTAGCACCTATGGTTAAGGGTCCAGTGGTGGTATAATATATCTTCCCTGAGACAGGATTCAACCCAACAACCTTCTGGATACGTGACTAGATCCTTAACCTACTGAGTTGCACAGTCCCCCCAGTGGTGGATCGTTCACTCAGTGCTGAACAGACAGCTGAGAAACTCATTCTCCTTCCATGGTTTTCTGTTTACCAGTGTAGACTGTTTGGGTCGAACAGCATGACAACTGTGTTCCCGGATCGCTGCAGGTGGGGATGGACGGTTTGATGTGGACCGGAAGAGTGGCCACGTTCGGACGACGGGGTTGCCCCTGCAGAAGGACAGGGAGTACCTGCTCAACGTGGTTGCCACTGACAAGCTGGGCAGCCGTGGCCCTCCCGCCGTGGTGTCGGTGGTGGCCGGGCCCAGGGCGCCCCAGTTCACCAATGCCTCCTTCTCCATCTCCATCCCGGAGAACATTTCGGAAGGGCAGCCGTGAGTGATGCGCATATGGGCCCGCACTCTGATACTCACTCACTTACTCACTTACTCACTTACTCACTCACTCACTCATACTTAAATACAAAAACACATGCAAGTGTAAGCATGCAAATATTTGCACCTAGATTATTACTTGCATGCACTGAATCAACAGTAGTAATAATAATAATAACAATAACCGTCATCACCATTAATATTAATAATCATAATAGTAATAATGAGCATAGATATGCAATAAGTCTATGGTGTGTTGGAAATGTATGACACTGGGGGTTTCATTAACCATTATTCCTCTTTTCACATGGTGTTCTTTCACAATATCTTATTCGTACTCTTCAGTTCAGCAGCTGTCATTGGTGACAGCCTAGTCGAAATATAAAATATAAGAAATAACCCCAAAAGCATTATGGAGCACAGAAGAAGATATTGAAAGTCCCACGGCCACGGAAAGTCCCACAGTTCTCCTTAGCCACTGTTGCTTAGTGTTGGCCGGAAATGGTATTTTTTCCAGCTCTTGTGATGGGGTGTGTTGTGGCACTGTTGTCACCACAGGCAGGGTGAGGTCCTTGAGTTTAATAGCTATCCTGACCTCTGCTGACTCTTTCCGGCAGTGAGGTGGGGAGTTGGATGTCAGCTGATCAATCACATGGGAACAGTAATGCAGTACAAATATTTTTTAAAATAAATATTCTGTTCTCTGTGCTTTAAGAAAAATATCTTCCATCCTCAGTAATGCATAGGCTATCCTTGCTTCCTCTCTTTGGTTTACATTTAGATCAACACCCCCAAACTCTATCACCCGATGACTTAAAAAGCCTGGAATGAAAACAGCGAGTGAGAACAAATAATAACTATTACTGCGTATGTGCCAAAATGCAACATTGTATTCATATTCTATTCATATTGACTTACTCATAATTATTTATTTTTGAAATGCCTTCTTTTTAATTACAACTCTGAGTTTTAGTTTTGAACCAGTTTTAAGCTATGAAATCCTTGAGATCAAGATATGAAATCTTAGATGTGTTGTTCGCTCTATAATAGAAAACACACATAACCTTATATTAAGTAATATTTAGAGCACATAATCTCGAATGTGGAGACACTGTACCTCCGTGACGTTCCCTTTTTCTTCCCACAGCTTCCTGGTGGCCCTTGCCTTGTCCTTCCAGAAGCAGCCAATCAGCTACAGCTTGCTCATCAATCCCAGCAGCCTGTTCTCCATCCAGCAGGAGACGGGCGAGATCAGCCTCACCCGTGTCCTCGACTATGAGAGTGACCAGCACCGCTACCTGCTGCTGGTCCGGGCCAGCGAGAGTCAAGACAGCCTGAGCAGCGCCGCTGAGGTGGGTCCACTTGGGCTACCATGCTCTGGTTTCAGTGAACTCCGACGTGATGGAATGAGCTGTGGTAGAAAACACCAGGCTGAGCTGGTTTGCGGGGGCTCAGCGGAGCTCAATTACCCAGAGCTCTACTGTGTGGGGCTGTTAGCGGAGCCTGAAGCCCTGGGGCGGACCCAGGACAGGCTGGAGGGGTTATATCCCCAGGGAGGTTTGGGAGCATACGAGCATCCTCCAGAACAAGCTAAAGATAGTGGCCTTGGAAACAGAGGTCTGTTCTGACTTGCTTGACATGCTGCCAGCTCTGTCCTCACCAGGGGAAGTGGTATGTTGATGATGATGATGATGATGATGATGATGATGAGCTCAGCTAGACTTGTGGAGTTACATTAAATCCATGGTGACCTGAACAGATTTGACCAGACCTAGGCTGTGATAGATTAGTATAGGCTGTCTACTGCATTGTTTAATCCTTGCTATTGTGACAGGCCTAGTTCATGTGGCTTTTCATATATATACATATTGTAAGCTGGTTTAGAACACATCAGAAAGCATTTCCTCAACACTTGCCTTCATTTTTTGGTTATTTAAAATGAAATAAGCAGCTCTGAAAAGGGAAATTCTATTTTTGAATTCTTTGCGGAGTGTCTCTGGGTGTTCTGTGCTACTCTATTCTGTAACTGACATAGATTAGAACACATCTTGGCCTACTTCAGTGGTAATAAATGTCTGCCTCATTCCATACAAAGATATTAGACGGTCTTTTGTTTGGGGGCCTGTCAGGTAAGGCTGGATTACTGGCATCTACATTTCTACTTCGTGGTGTTCCACAACATCAGAGTCCTCTATGGGATGCCCTTACAAAGAGATGTTTTTTTCCTGCCTGTTTCCCCTGGCTCAGCTGTTAGCCCTTAATGCCAGACTGTAGCTCCTGGCATGCAGGTTGGGGGCTGTATTTTGACATCCTTTGCAAGGTAAGCTGACCTAAGTGGTGAATAGATTCACCTAGAAATGGGAAGCAAAGCAAACAAGAAATGATTGTGGGAACATAGCAAAGGAGGATAAACTGCATCAAGGGGTCCTGTGTCCCCTTGGTTGGTTTGTGGTCCAGTGGGTGAGGATGCTATGCCTGTAATGGGAAGGTCAAGTCCCATGATCAGCAGAGTGATGTCACCATTGGGGCCCATGAGCAAGGTCCTGCGTTTTTCAAAAAGTGTATGCTGCTTGGTATGCGATGTATAGATTTTGTTTTGCCTCTCTGCTAACCACCAGGGACATGGACCTCAAGGATTTGCACGGTCCTACAAACATAAACCCAATGGGAAGAACTTGACACATTTTTAAGATTAAGCGGCTTTTGCAGGATTATATGTGTGGTATATTGTCGCATGGCCTACATACACTATATTGCCAAAAGTATTGGGACACCCCTCCAAATTATTGAATTCTGGTGTTCCAATCACTTGCATTGCCACAGGTGTATAAAATCAAGCACCTAGGCATGCAGACTGGTTCTACAAACATTTGCAAAAGAATGGGTCACTCTCAGGAGCTCAGTGAATTCAAGTGTGGTACCATGAAAGGACACCACCTGTGCAATAAATCCTTTTGTGAAATTTCCTCACTACTAAATATTCCACAGTCAACTGTTAGTGGTATTATAACAAAGTGGAAGCAATTGAGAAAAACAGTAACTCAGCCACGAAGTGATAGGCCATGTATAATCACAGAGCGGGGACAACACATGCTGAGGCGCACAGTGTGCAGAAGTCACCAACTGTCTGCAGAGTCAATAGCTACAGTCCTCCAAATTTCGTATGGCCTTCAGATTAGCTCAAGAATAGTGCTTAGAGAACTTCATGGAATGGGTTTCCATGGCCGAGCAGCTGCATCCAAGCCTTACATCACCAAGTGCAGTGCAAAGCGTCGGATGCAGTGGTTTAAAGCATGCCGCCACTGGACTCTAGAGCAGTGGAGACATTTTCTGTAAAGTGATGAATCACGCTTCTCTGTCTGGCAATCTGATGGATAAGTCTGGGTTTGGCAGTTACTAGGAGAACGGTACTTGCCTGACTGCATTGTGCCAAGTGTAAAGTTTGGTAGAGGGGGGGATTATGATGTGGGGGTGTTTTTCAGGTGTTGGGCTTGGCCCCTTAGTTCCAGTAAAAGGCACTCTTAATGCTGCAGCATTTGAAGCCATTTTGGTCAATTTCATACTTCCAACATGACTACGCACTAGTGCACAAAGCAAGGTCCATAAAGACATGGATGAGCGAGTCTAGTTTAGAGGAATTTGACTGGCCTGCACAGATCCCTGACCTCAACCCAATAAAACACCTTTGGAATGAATTAGAGCGGAGACTGCAAGCCAGGCCTTTCTCATCCAACATCAGTGCCTGACCTCACAAGTGCCTGGAAGAATGGTCAAAAATTCCCATAAACACACTCCTAAACCTTGTGGACAGCTTTCCCAGATGATTTGAAGCTGTTATAGCTGCAAAGGGTGGGCCAACACCACATTAAAGCCCATGTATTAAGAATGGGATGTCATTAAAGTTCATGTGTGTGTAAAGATAGATGTCCCAATTTTATGTTAGAAAAAAAAAAAAAGAAATCAAAGGTCTTGACTTTGGAGACGCGTTTTTAACGTGGTGATTAACAAGGCCGAGTTACCAATTAAGTTAGAAGAATGCACCACCATGTTTGAGGAATCTGTGTGTTTTAATCAGCCCGACCGCTGAGTGTAAACAGGACAAGGTGATTCTTTCTTGCTGGCCCTCTGCGCCAGGGTGTGACATGGTATATAAACAAAGATTTATGTTGCTTTGCAAAGGGCAAAGCGTGTCTCTTTCTCTATCCCTCTCTTTTTCTCTCTCTCTCTAGAGAGAGCTATGGCTTTTCAGGAACATCCTGAACTATACCCCTACTAAGCCTGATTGCAAAGGTCTACACCTGCCCCGGAAGTCTATGGAGACTGTCTATTGACTTAGCCCCATCTCCTCATTATGCTAATCTCCAGGGCTCCTCCTCCTCTTGGCTGTTATAACAACACAACCCAACTTCCTCTGTTTTGGAAAAAGAGGCCACACCTGCGTAGGCTCCACTGCCAAGGCCACTTCACAGCTTACAGACTTACAGCTCGAACTTAAAATAGAAGCTGGACTCAAACGCGCCTTCCCTCAGTTTCTTTCTACCATGGCATGGCCGCAAGCAGAGTAGCTGCACGGGACTGAGGACTATGAGTCAGACTGTGTTCCGGAACCATTTGCTCACACAGGCTGAAAAGCTTTGCGTGCTTGTTCCCATCTCACAGAGTGAGGCAAGTTAGTCTCACAGCAGGTACCAAGTCCAAAGCATCTTTTGTGTCGAGCCGTTCAGACCCCAGCGGAAGGAGTACCCAGACGTTGAAGATTTCAGTGTCCTCTAGCCAGACTAGAAGAAGGCTCTTTTCCCACAGGTAGCAGATCCTTTTCTCTGATTCAGTGCCAGAGATGATTACCGCTGTAAAATCCCTTCGCGGCATGCCTTTGGGGACAGGGTCAATTAGGAACATTAGCTCTGTTCTCACTGCCTACCCCTCCATTACTGGCTCTACCCCCTTTTCCCTCTCCACTCTCTACTGTTTTCCGACAGGTGCGAGTGGTCATTACAGATGTGAACGACTGCATCCCAGAATTCCTGCAGTCCATTTACAGCAAAGACGGCATCCCAGAGACGGTAACAACAGCAACCTCTCTGCTTCAAGGTGAGATGGCCTGACACTTTTGCAAAGATCAATGAAACTGAGAGCTAATTTCTGAGAGTTTCCGCAATGGAATCTTGCAGCTGTATTCTTAGTAGAGAAAATTAAACCGGTGATCCTATTTAAAGATGCTGTAGCATTGACCCAACTGCGAGTCACACTCACAACCCCCCAGCTGTAGTGAAAACCACTTCCTTCTCCTGCTGGAGTGGCTCTACCGCCCACGGTTGCCTGTATCGTTTCTGAGCAAAGCAGAAAGATTAGTGGTTAGCAGTGAGATACTCTGGTCTCAGGGTGGCAGACACTGAGCAGACTACCTGCCCTGTATTCCCTGCGGAGCGTGTCAATGCTCTTCTCTCAGCCGGCTTCCCATTCCTTCTAATTACTCGTTTTCTCCTGTTCGCCTGTGCTCTCACTTGCCCTCGTCTCCTGGGGATTGACAGGTCTATATTTCAGTGTGCTCTACAGTACATTCCACGTAAACGCTTTCAAATCACCCTCAGTTTACATACAAAGCTTTGGGTTAAATGGTGCGTTGAACACGCTCCACATCCACCAAACATAAGTTGAGTTCGTTGAGTTGACATTCGTTGGTTTTGCAGTTGTTGCACAGTGTTGAATATTTGATAGGTTAGTATCATGTCATGGTCAGATTTTTAGAAATGTATGTCAGCATACCTGACCTGATGGTTTTGTCTAAGAGAGCTCTCCAAACCTTTTGTGGTTTTTAAAATAATTTTTTGCCTGTTGAGTATCCTCAGCATGCTAGGGAATCAATAAGCAGTGTACTTGATTGAGCTCTGTTGACTTCATGTTAGTTTACTGTGGAAGCAAGAAATCTATTTGTCTGAGCTGACTTTTTCAAAAGTACTTTCCAGCTTTCCAGCTTAGGACCTCAGGCTGTGCTGGTATCTCTCCGTCCTCAGCTCTTCATTTTGTTGTTCCAGGAGTAATTTGATTACTGCATCACCTCTCCTTACGTCAGCTGTAGACCAGGTGCTAATTAAAATGTGTTCCTTAAACCTTAAGCCTTGCGGCTGTTGAGGACAGAAACTGCCAATCAAAATGCAAGCCTTGCAGATCCCAATTGTCACAAGTTTTGCAAAAGCTGGGCTTCATGGTGATATACGACTGAGGCTAAAACCAGCACACCAATAACAGGAGGTGTTTCTAGAATATTCAGGTGTTTAAAAGTGGTCTTATCTGTTCTCCCTAATGACAACACTGAATTGTAATGAGTTGTTATATTTCATGCTCAGCATTTTGAGGAAAGTGGCCATATTCTAGGTTAATTATTGTTGACGGCGTTTATGAAATCGGCCTCATCATCCACACGATGATGTCTAGATTCGGTTCTGTAGAGTTGCCCTGATACACAATTTATCATCCTGGCATATACCACTGAGATGGTCCAGGGTGATTTCAGGTGCATCGCTACAGACAGAGAGTCATTCTCTGTCACGTAGTGGAGATTGCCAACATGCCGTCACCAGCATCCTGCCAGGTGATTGACAGAATTCACCGTGATTGGTAGTTGAACCACCAGAGGAATTATGGTTCTACCGGTTTTCATTTGGGTTCCACGCGTTGGTTGGTGCTGTAGGTAAAGCCACCTGTATCGGTGAAATAAACCAGGCTTGATGGTGACGATCAGTACCGGGTGAGCCGGTAGGCCGTGTGAGGGCTGGGAAGACGCAGCCCGATGATCAGTGTGCCGCCAGGTGACTGACAGGCTGCACTGTGACAAGCTAATTGCTGCCTGATGGCCTGGCCTGACAGCGTGGCTGAAAGGATGGCCTTTGTAAGACCGGCCCTGCTGTGCTCCTGCAAGATGTCAGTAAATAATGCCAAACTGTGGGTAAGTCACAGTGGCCATGATGAACTTCACACAGCTTCAGTGCATTAGGTTGGGCCATCCAAGGAGAGAAGAATACCAGTTTCACAGTCTACTGTAGGGAGAATTATGGGAGACGGCGGATTTATACTGCTTCTGTGGAAGGTAATTCAAATAAGTCATATAAATCGGTGCAATGCAATGTAAGGTGACATTTACATAAAACACGACGACGGATTAGCTGGTCGTATGATGAGAATAGGCAAGTAACAGCAAAACAACATCAGATGAATCGTCAAGGTATCATGATATAACGGGAGATACGGAAAGCAAAGTAACGGCGTGTCATTTTGCGGTGGTGTAACTGTCATTCAGTTTATTGTGCATTATGCATAATAATCAATATTTATTTGTGAGGTAAAGTGGCGTAGATGAATTACAAGTTTATAGGCATAGGGATGAACAGATATTTTAACACCCAAGCTGTCAGAAAGAATTCCCAGGGGCTGTCTGTATGCTTGCTTTTATTCCAGCTCAGCTCCCGACAGGAATAATTAGTAGTTAATCATTTGTACCATTTATATATATGACATTATCACTCTACTGTGGTAAAATTCAGTGTTTTGCAAACAGAGAAATCTTGACAAATGCATGATCATTGTTTAAAAGACTGGAAAACCGCCTAATTGATGCTTTTGTCCAAAATGTCTCGTGTGGCTAAATGTGGAAATGGTAACAGATGTACATAGAATGATTTTCTGAAGTGACACCACCCTGGGGGCAGTGTGTGGCTCAGTGGGTTAGGCCTGTGATCAGAAGGTCATGGGTCCAAATCCCATCTTTTGGCCCACTGAGCAAGATCCTTAAACCCCCCATCCCTCTCCAAAAAAATGTCTCAAAGGAGAAAAGATGGCACATGTGAAAAACTGAAAATTCCCAGGATACCCGGCAAATAAAGCATTGTTTTGTTTTCACTTTTCAAAAGTTGAACACCCTGCCAGACAGGGGTGCAGTGGCGAGGGAAGGGGTCTGGCTGAAATGTGCCTCTCTCCCCCAGTGTCAGCCAGCGACTGTGACTCGGGCCCCAACGCCGAGCTCACCTACCACACACTGAGCCCAGATTTCAGCATCTCGCCACATGGCACCATTTTCCCCGCCCGCCCACTGGACTACGAGCGGCCCAACCATCTCTACGAGTTTGTGGTGATGGCCGTGGACAGGGGGGAAGCACCGCGCACAGGGACCGCCACCGTGCGCGTGCGCGTGGCCAATGTCAATGACGAGGCCCCCGAGTTCTCTCAGCCTGTGTAAGTACCCGCTGCCCACCGTGCCCACCATCTCGTCCTCATCCAGTCAGCATCAGCTGGACTTCAGCTACTCCTACTCTGATGGCCTAAGGAAAAATATCACGTATCATTTTTGTACTGTGTCGCTTAACCAGTTAGGACACTGTGCATGTGATCAGGGGGTCGCTGGTTCAAATCCCAGAGTTGTTACAGTGATTTTCCCCTTTGGACCCTTGAGCAAGGCCCTTAACCCCCAGTTGCTCTGGTGATTGTACATCACTTTGGATAAAACTTCTGCTAAATAAATAAATTGTAAATGTAATTATCATAGGTTGGAACATAGTGGGTTTTTAAGGAGATCAGACCATGGGGTGTTTCCGTATCATGTGTTCCTGCTGCACCACCCCCTCGTTACCGTTTGAATGCAGTTCTGTTGCTTAACCTCCCCACCGTCTGCTGATGGAGATCCCGCTTTGCTGCTAAAGCAGGTGCCTGCTGGGATCTGCCTTTAAAAAGCCCCACGTGGCTCCCTCTTTTTCCCTTTTGCCTCCCTCCTCCCTTCCCTCCTGTGGGTCTCCCACAAGGAGCCATGTCTTTTCCCCAGAATGGGATTCAGCTGCTAATTTGCAGAATTGTAAAATCCTGAATGAGTGCTTTAAAAAGGCAAAACTGCTGTCACTGGCTTAAATATCTGTAGCGGAATTTCCTCTGCTCTTCTCTGTTCCCTGCTCCCTCTCCTGCTGTCGTTTTTCTTCCCCCTGTTTCTTGCTCTGGTCTTTAAATCCTCTAATTGGCCGGTCTCTTGCCACCCAGCCCTGGGTATTGGTGAGTCTGGTCCAATCAGCCGTGGCGATGTTTCTTGAAGGGGTCTGCATTCCTGATGATCTGTGTGTGTATGTGTCCAGGGAGGGGGATGGAGGTAAGATAATTACAAGTCACCTCTCAGGCATAGCCTTCTTGATCACCTGGTGTGGGTTGCAGGGGTTTCATGTCCGACGGGGGCCGTTTTCCTTGACCAGCTTTTTGAGTGAGCACAGAGCATACCTTCAGGATTCGCAGGACACTCACGTGTTCGCTGCATCTAATTTGAGGTTCCCGACTGTAGCCGATAGCATTACCGCGCCTGCAGCTCTGTTTGTTCTACATGGCTCACCATGCTTGGCAATCGTTTTCCCGAGCCAAGCAATCAGAAGGGGGCGGGAAAGTGACCTGCTTTCCATGCCTCACTGTGGGAGACTTTGGTTGACTTTACCTGTAACGACAGGGAAATTATGTCTGTAGGATGGTAAGTTTTTTTTAATGACAGTTGCTGCAGACCTTGGCTGTGGAATCTGACAAAAAGGGAACAACAAAAGAAATGTGCAGTGATCCGTACACATCCGTGACACATCCGTTTTTAGGACTGATATTAATTGTGGAAAGCAATAGAATCTGCCTGAATATTTTTCCCGACTTACATCACCCTCTGAGAAAGGAAGGAAAATATCCGCAGTGCACTGACTCTGCACTCATATCAGGTCCTTTTGTGGTCCTGTGACAATGAAAGTCTTCAGGAGTAATTACAGATCCGTTTTGATGTGGCTGGAAATTAAATTGATGGGGCAGATAATGAGGTGGCTGAGGTGGGAGGGTGGGCCCTAGGTTCTGCTTGAGAGGCGCCATTGTTGTGCACTGCGAAATGGCTAATGGCTGAGGCTTATCACTCACGGGCCCGAGCCGGTCGTCGTGGTGACAGATCAGCACACAGGTAGCGTTGGCGGGGGTGTCGGTGATAGATCCCACATCCTGTTCTTGCTGTCGTCCCCTCAGTGGAGGAGAAAGGGGGCTCTTCCTAATGGTAGGCACGCCATGGGATTGAGGGGCAAAGGGTGGGGGTTCTGTGTCTGGAGGTTGTGTAGATTGAAGAGACAGAGGTGTTGGGGCTGTACGAGCCCCGGGGCTATCGATCAATCCCTTTTCACTCTCTCCCCGACTGCCCATCCATCAGCTCCACATACCAGCCAGTGTTTCTACTTATAATTCCTTTTGCATGTTAATAGTTAGAGTTTATAAACCTTGTGCTTGACATCATGTGCGAATGCTGGTGCGCAGAGCTGTACTTACTGACGCTGGAGGGGTCACTCCAGGCTCTGCCGGGCTGCTGGCTAGTCCCAGTGTAGGCTGTGAAAACACGTGGTGGCACGTACAGCTGGTAGCGCTCCTGTGAAATGTGTTAGCTGCTCTTAAGTGTTGGGTTAGACAGGATCCCCCTCCTGCATTCTCTGTTTGAGCCATTTATTCGTTTGACAAATGAGTTTGTCCACCAGGAATTGCAGGTTGAGATCATATGCATTCAGGAAGGGAGGTCAAAAATATGGAATCATCTTGAAAGTGCAACCTTGGACCATTAGCACCAAACGATACAACTATTACCTACTGAAATCCTAAAATGATAATGTTCTTGTGTGGTATTATAATGTACAGCAAGAGGGTATTTAAGAGCTAAAACAATTTCTGTACAGACATGCTTCATTAGTTAATCACACTTAATTAGATAGTATCTAGGTGAATTGTTGCATGAAGAAAAGAGTTTTCTTTCGAGGGCATTGAGAATTTCTGAATGGAATCTGGTGGTGGGGGGGGGGGCATGGGGGTAACATCACCTTCCTGAGGAAAGGGGGAGAACAGAGGCATGTTTCCCATGAGTACAGAGTCATGGGTCCCCATATTCTGTTAGCTGTTGCTTTGGGTCAGCTGATCCAGCTGTGTAGGAATGACCGTGAACGATTTTCACATCGTTCATGGTCAGTAAGTGGTTTTTGATGGCTCACCAGCCTGGTACAACATGTGCAGGTGCTTGCCAGGGTGCTGTGTAGCTCCGCAGGTCAGAGGTCTGTGCCCATGTTCCGAAGGTCATGACCTGAAAAGTAAACATGATTGTCCTCCATGACGGCCGGCTGGTCCTGCAGTCTGACTCACTGGCTTTCCTCGCTCATACGTTGTTTTGGTAAAGTGTTTGCTAAATAATTAGCGCTTGCTAAATATTTAAATGAGAATGTAAAATGAGAATGATACATTTTGGTAAAATGTCCACAAACAAAAACTGCTGAAAACTGCTGGCTGTGTCACAGGGATGTGTGAAGGCCTCTCTCTGGCCTGATCACCATACAGAAGAAGCAGGGAAATTGGCTGTGCAGTCACACAAGGGACACGTCAAAACTCATCACCTGCCTTCCCCTCAGACAGAAGGACCATAACGAGTTACCGTCTGAGCTGTTAGCTGGCTTAGCAGACTGTGTAAGCTAGTGTGTGCTAGCCTGCCTTAATGAATCTGTTTTTGTTGTGTTACCTTCTTTAGCCTGCTTGTGTAAATCGGCTAACTGGAATTCAACATGAATCTGTTACCTGGCATGTGTGGGTTTGTGTCAGCGTATGATTGCAGAGCCTGCAAAATATGAACTGGACTGAGCATTGGGGTAGTAACCTTGGCTTAGCCCAGTGTCTGCAGACAGGATTGTGTGTGAAAGGATGGATGAACAACATTGACAGGCTTAAGAGAGTGTAAGGGCTTGTGTATTTGTATCTGTGAGAGACAGAGATCTAAAGCAGTGCATACAATTCCCAGTATCTGTTGTTAGATTAACTAGAGTGCTGCTCCCCCAAGAAAGACTGCCTGTAGGTGTGTGTGGCCCAGGTTTACATTACATTGTGGGAACATTGGTCTCCCACAATGTCATAAAAACCTCTTATTTTGATGTAGTGGGGACCATTTTTTCGGGGACATTCAAGGGGAAATTTAGTTTTATAAAAATTTGTGACTGCAATAAAAAACTAAAAATGCCAAAAGACTTGTATTTTGTTTGGTTACTTATGGTTAGGGGTTAAGGTTGTCATTGTTGGGATTAGGGATTTTCCCATAGATATGAATGGACAATTTCCATAAAGTTATGAGTACAGGTGTGTGTGTGTGTGTGTGTGTGTGTGTGTAAGCATGTACATTGTGGGGACCAACTGTCCCCTGTGACAGTGACATGTATCAGATATCCTATTTGGAAATCACTCTTTCATAAGGTTATGGGAAGTACAGAACACAGGGAATCACACAAAATAAAGGTTCATGAGGGGTCAGAAAACTATAACAGAACTTAATACTAAAAACAAGCTACAAAAACCATAAGGGAAACATAACCAGGGAGCAAGGCAACACAGGGAGCAGAACCAAGAACAGGGTACAAGGCCCTGTGCACATGGCAACATTACAGCATGACATTACGATGGCAGACTAAAGCGCAGAGTGAGGGAGGGCACTTAAATACACAGGCATCTAGGGAAAAGGTACTGTATAACTTAATCAGTGAACCAGTCAAGAGAGACACAGGAGCAACGAGAAACAGGTGGACACAATTAACCCTAAGAACACACAGAACTAAGAGATTTAACACACACTAAGGACTGTCTACAGCAGGGGTGTCCAATCTTATCCGCAAAGGACCGGTGTGTATGCAGGTATTTGGGATAACCTGTAGGTCAGCTGTTCAAACCCAGGTGTGAGGACTCTTCAGCCAATCAGTCCTCTAATTAGTAATCTAATTAGGGAGTTGCAGCGAAAAACCCGCATACACACCGGCCCTTTGCGGATAAGATTGGACACCCCTGGTCTACAGCAAACACTAGCAACAAGAACACAGAAATAATCACAATAAACCTGGGATATTCTAAAATAAGAAAACACGAAATAAACACCACAGAACAAAAAACCAGGTGAGATTGTTCTCAAGCCAGCCTTGAAGCCACAACACAAGGGAACAGAATCAGAGCCACACACTCAGCCCACTGACCTATGCAGCAGTCAGGGAAAGTGGGAGAACACACTGGGGATGAGGCACACTGGGGCTGAAGGACAAGAAACAGGGAGGAGAACAGGATGGCTAGTGACACCTGCTGGCCAAATGGGAGGGAAGGGGACATGCAGGGCAGGGTCAGTTGGGCACTGACCCTCACAGTACTGACTTATGACCGGACCGTTTTGATACATGGATCCATTCTTAAGACGCTATTGCATGTCTCGGCCCTGGGGCCCTGACAGGGGAGGGAGAAAAACAGCACCTGAGTTACTTATCGATCTGAGATATCGAATAAGTTATTTCATTAAATGGAAGCTGAGGGTGACTAACTGTAATACAGCAACGTTGGGCTAAGCTGTGGCAGTATTAATAAAAATACATGAAGCAGAAGAATCACAAGCTAGACCTGAGACATTCAACAACAGAACCAAATAATGGCTCGGCGCAGCTCATTAGGGTAAAATCACAGGTGACATTAGGAAGACAGACCCGCTTGTCTGATTTACATACAGCACCACATGATCCATCTTCCACTCAGAAGTTTTTTTAGGGGTTTACAAGATGACTGAGACAAGAAGGGGCATTGTGTGTTTGTGTGTGTGTGTGTGTGTGTATGTGTGTGTGTGTGGATTATGTTTATATTACATCGTGGTGACCAAATGTTCCCCACAATGTAATAAAAGCATGTTATTTTGACATAGTGGGGACCATTTTTCTAGTCCCCACAAAGATCTGTGAATGCAATCGAAACACTAAAAATGCCAAAAGTCTCATTTGTTGTTTGGTTATTTATGGTTAAGGTTAGGGCAGGGTAGGGGTTAAGGTTGTCATGCTGGGATTAAAATTTTCCCCATAGAAATTAATGGAGAGTCCCCACAAAGATATATTACAAATGTGTGTGTGTGTGTGTGCGCGTGTGCGCGTGTGGGACAAAGGAGGGCATGTGAATGACACCTCAGACCCTGGTGTGTTTGGAAGTACCAGCTGGCAGGAAGTTCCTCCTCGATGGCCTAAGGCTCCTACTCTAACAGGCCATTTAGCCGCTGATGATACGAGTATTGGCTACTCCTGGGGAAATTGGACCAAAGTCATCGCAGGTAGTTCTGGGGCTGCCCTAGTGGCCCAGTGGTGCTGACCCAAAGACTGGGGACAGTGCCAGGGATATTAATATTTCAGCAGGACAGCTGTTTAAGCATGCCTCGCTCTGCAGGTCTGATGGGGTGGGGAGCCGTTGCTGAGTGTTCAGTGTAAAGATGTGAGGCAGCACATTTCTGTACATCCAGGACAGGCAGCCTTGGCCAGTCATCATGTCTGAGGCTGGTGTTAGTAAATGTAAACACAGAGCAAAGGGAAGGAGCTTAGGTAGAATATATGTTATATGTTGTTTAAGTCTGCAGGGAGGTACACAATTGTACTTCATGTGCCCACAAAGATCTGTGAATACAATAACAAACTAAAAATGCCAAAAGTCTCATATTTTGTTTGGTTACTTATGGTTAAGGTTAGGGCTGGGCAGGGGTTAAGGTCATCATTGAGAGTCCCCACAAAAAGATATCATTACAAACCTGTGTGTGTGTGTGTGTGTGTGCATATGGTCCTGTTAGTATGAGTGTGTACATTCAGGTCATGTGTACATGTGACCTCCCTGTAAAGATGCTACAGTAGCATGCTTGTTCTCCATGTGGCCCCTTCTCACAGACTGACACAGGGTCTTTCATACTTTTTTTGTGCTGCCTGGCTCTTGCCCTGCATTTCAATTAGCCATTTCCTCCGAAAGCGGTGATGTCGGGCATGCTGTCGGTCTGCTTATGGCTTTTCTTTTTGGCTTCTTCCACGATTGTTGCCCTTGTCTCGCAGGGTCAGAGATATCCAATTCACAGCAAGAAAAAAATATAAAAAATTGTTTGGAAACATGAAGTGTTGTGATGGGTTGTTTTGTGAGGTCTTATTCTGGCCAAGTTTATCTTCAGGTGAAGTTTATTTTTGTTCCTTTAACAATTTTACACAGGCCTGTGCCTGCCTGACCAGGAACTTCTCCGTCCACAGCTACCGGACATTTGTCTCCGAGGACGCCGGCCCAAACACACTCGTCGCCACAGTGCTGGCCAAAGACCCTGATGGAGACGGAATCACCTACAAAATCACATCAGGCAACAACGATGGAAACTTCGTCATTGACAGTCAGAAAGGTGATGCCCCCTAACACTTTTATTCCCTCCCCCACTTCCTTGTTTTATTAAAATAATGAATCTGGCAGATTATCTCCGTCAAGTCAGTCTCTCCGCTCTCTGTATGGCCAGTCAGAAGGAAGGTTCGAGCAATATACCAGCTGGATAAAGTGTTTTTATGTCTGGCTGGGTCAAAACATCAGAAGCTGTGCAGCTGTCCATGACCGGAAATGAAAAGCAGTCATTTACATGGCCTCCAACCTCCCCCCCCCCCACCAGCACCTTGGCCAGTACCTCCACCCACTGTTCACAATGTAAGGGAGGTAATTACCCAGAGTGTTTCTTCTACAATGGTGAGGTCCTCTCCGTTATTCATCTGACGTGTCACCAGGTGGGCTCAATGCTCCAAGTGCTCGGATTGTAATTTGGCCATAACTCAGTGCAAGCCTGAGTGTCCCCATTTAATGTTCCATACAGAATTTACGCTAAACGGACCCCCTCCGTATTAAAAACATAAATACTTTGTATTTATATAAACAGATAGATCACATTCCGTGAGGGCTAAAATGGACAGTTTGTCTTTTTTACTCAGCTCCTCATCATTAGCGCCACGCTGGCATCTGCTCGTTGGCGTCTCCCGCTGGGGAGAGGCAGAGGAGGCGAGGTGGAGGAGACGTTCGTCACCCTGACTCCTGTGCGCCGGTGTCAAGAGCTCTGACTTGTCTCATGAATTTAGCTATTTCCAGGTGCCTCTAGCCAAAGCTATAGTCGTCTCCCCCCTCAATAAAAACTCCCTTCCCTTGCATGCACATGTCCTGCTGCTTTCTTCCTCAAGGATTTCAATTGTGCACCCTGTCACCACCTTGGCCATCTGTCTGAATGGGTGCACTACCCGGAACCGGGGCGATAGGCCACACAGAGCCCTCCCGACCTGCCTGATGTGTTTATCCATCCTGTTCCCATGAGAGCAAACAGCCCCAGATAATCACCACTGTAACCCGCTAACCGACTTCTCTGGGTCCTCCTGCCTGCCCTAGAATCCTTCGGGGGGGGGGGGGTCACTGCTTATTTGGGCCAGGATGAAAGCACTGATGAGAATCGGCCCAGAGGCAACCCTGGTGGCAGAGCATCGAGCCCAGCGACATCAGACATCGCCGTGCCAGGTTTTGATCGCAAGGGATTCATTCTTTTCCTTATGGAGCCCAAAAGCATTAGATTCACTTTCTCTGTAAGATGAGGTATGGTAGGGCTCTAGGGGGCAAGTGGACAGGTAGCCCTTGGAACTGAGAGGGGTCTGGGTAAGTTAGACAGTTCTTAGAAGGGTGAGAGACAGGATGCTACTTGAAGCTTTTGTGCTTGGCTGGTAGAGTGATATGAACATGGTCCGACAGGTTGCTGCCCAAAGAGAAGATNGGTACATGGTCCGACAGGTTGCTGCCCAAAGAGAAGATTATTAAACAGCGTAAGGAAGGGAATTCTGCTGCCCACATTGAAATGTTGCCTGCACTGGGAGGGTCCTGGTCACAGATGGTGTGACACCTCTCTGATATGGCGACGACAGGCAATGGCACAACGAGCTCAGAGAGTGCCCTTCCACGGAGTCATTTATCAATGTATTTATTTTCCCTCCTTTTCTTTTCTTCTCTTTTTTCACCCCCCTATCATCCTGCCATCCCTCCCTCTTAGGTTTAATTCAATTTAATAATAATTTTATCGTTAGTTTGGTTGGACATTACAGGGATATTTTTAGATTTGTACATGACATTAGATGTAGAGCATTGAGAATGCAGTTGAAGTTTGGATATTTTTTTCCTTCCACTTTTTAAAAATATAACTAATACCTTTATCCAATGAGGTGTATGTTTTTGATAACGTAGGGTTGGCCAGTCCCTGGAACAACTGGGGGTTAAAGGCCTTGCTCAATGGCTCAATGGTGACACCACTTTGCTGACAAGGGGATTTTTAACCAGTGTCACTCTGATCACAGACACAGCATCCTAACCCGTTGAACCACACACCTCCTCCCATTTGGTCCTCTGGCTCAAAGGGACTGCCTGAATTACACTTGTATATCCAGTCTAGGCACTGACCATGTAAAAAATGAAATTTAAAATAGTTTTTTAATCAATACTTTCCAATCCAAATTGACCATTTACTGAAGTCTGGGTCGCTCACCAAACTCAGTGGTGCTTTCGACTAGCTTCTGATGGCTGGTTTGTCTTTGCAGGACTGATTCGCCTACGCTCGAGCCCACCCCCAAGACTGCAGGGTGTGGAGTACGTCCTCAATGTCACGGCGACGGATGACAATGCATCAGGTGGGCCTCACTCTCTCTTTGGAACTGCCCAGGTCATTGTGGGCATTGACGACGTCAACAACAACAAGCCCGTATTTGAGAAGGTACGTCGGCTTGTCCTCTTCTCTGTTGGTTTTCCTCTGGCCCTCTCCGCTCCTCTCTTCTTCCTTCTATTTTTTGCTATCATTCTTCCACCAAACCAAAGGATAAGCTCCCAGGTCCTTCATATTCTGATACTTTCAGGTAATCCCATGGTTTTTGCTTTACCTTTCTGCGTAATCACAGAATCATCACAGATTATTTCTTATTCACCATGCTGGTACTGGGGATTTTTACAGCTGCAGGTGTTATCTTTGATCCACCCTGGTGACACGTAACCCTGAGAAGACGGCTGTGCTGCCTTAAGCCTCTTGTCGCAAACTGTCAGCCCCCTTTATCTCTTGCGCTGACAGTCTTGCTGTGGCTGCACCTTGGCCTCTTCCAGTCCGGCTCTCTGAACGAAAATATCTTAAAATCCTAACACACCTGTGCTCATGTGTGCATACAGGCACACACACACACACACACACGTGCGCACATGTAGGGTAAACATATCCTTATGGGGACCGCTCATTCATTTCAATGGGAAAAATGCTAACACTAACTATAACAACCTTAACCCCTACCCTGCCCTAACCATAACCATAAGTAACCTAACAAAATACAAGAGTTTTTGCATTTTTAGTTTTTTTATTAGCAGTCACTGATTTTTATAAAATAGAGCTTTCCCTAATGGGGACCAGGAAACTGGTCCCCATAAGGGGAAAAAAACAGATATTTATCACGTTATGGGGACATTGTGTCCCCATAAGGATAGGTAAACCTGCTCACACACACACACACACACACACACACTCCGGCACATACACATGTGAGCACTGCTTCCCTTACCTGTCAATAAAGGAGAATTGGAGGCTTAGCTCACTGATGGACTCTGACTATAGCACAGTTTACACCCTTTTTTTGTTAAAGGAGGCTCATTTTCTTTGTAATCTATAGTGTTAGCTTTGGAGAGGAGGTTTGTTATCCCCTTACTTTTTTGCTTTTGGTTCTTCTCCTCTGTTGTCGTCTGGTATTGTCTTTCCCTTCTCCCTGTTTCGTGCACCATTCTATATAAATGATGTAGCAATGAATTGCCACACGCTCTTATCAAGAGCCTTGGGGCAGCTGAGCGGTGAAAGGCACTATATATAAAAATAAGTCAGTAGCAGTGGCAGAAGTTATCTTCCAGTATCTTCAGTTCCTGTGGAAAGGCTGTGTGCTCACCTAGCATTCACCCTGTGCTTTGGGGTCTGCTACCACCCGCTGGGTCAGGTTACTGTAGGTCTGCCGCTTTGGACTGTAACCTGTCATTCTCTTCGCCTGGATCTTCAGGAGTCCCCAGAATGGGACAAGCTGACATAGTAATGCTTCCCAGCTGAAGCCTCCATCTCCACTGGAGACCACAGGCAGAATTGGCGAGTCTAGGCCCCTTGTCATTAATTAGACGCTGAAAGTAGCCATCAAAGCAGAGCAGTCAATCGATCAGGGATTTGTACTTCCCCTTTTTTGATGACTTCTCTCTGCCCCAAAACTGTTGCTGGTTTTTAATGACAACAGAGGCTGAATTTTGCGTGGGGATATTTGCAGGCACTGATATTACAGCATGAACTGTGTGGGAGTTGGGACTTTGGTGACTGTTTTACCTCAATTGATCTGCTATGATGGACTGAACTCAAAGTTGGCTGAAGTATGCAGCAAATAAGACTTTTGATAAAGAAGTCGAGGCATTAGTAACTTTGAAGGCCTGTTTCTCTTTACTTTCTCTGAATTTTCTTGCTCTTGGTTTTTACTTTTTCTCCATAACTGTCTCTCCCTCTGTCAGTCAGGTCCAAATTCAGATTTAACAAGAATGAAAGTTACAGCAGAGGAATTCCTAGAGCACGTGAAGTGCGTATTTTATATGAATTTAAACATTAATTACAATCGAAATAAGAAACACTCAGGCGAGCTGTAAAACATCAGCCCCGCATGTGAGTAATGTTAGTCTAACGGAACCGGCTTTGGATTTCAGGTTATTTTCGGTCTTTGAGCATGTCTCTCTGACCCTTAGTGCCAGCAGTACAGGGAGCAGAGCTCGGTTCTGGAGAACCAGCCTGTGGGCACCTTTGTGCTGCAGGTCCACGCAGTTGATGCGGATGAGGGCTCCAACGGGATGGTGAAGTATGGCTTCATGCATAAAGACAGCACCGTGCCCGCCTTCAGCATCCATCCTGACACAGGTACAGTGGGTGGAGTTTCTTCTTTGGGAATCGTTGGCCAAGCTGCTGTTTGAAGGAGTGATCAGTGTGGAATAGTGATCAGTGTAAACGTTTTTGGGGCTATTTCTGTGTAAAAATGTTGCTTTGCGCTTCTTCTGCTCCTGAAATCATTGCTCAGGTACAGTGGGTGGGGCTTCTTCTGCTCCTGAAATCATTGCTCAGGTACAGTGGGTGGGGCTTCTTCTGCTCCTGAAATCATTGCTCAGGTACAGTGGGTGGGGCTTCTTCTGCTCCTGAAATCATTGCTCAGGTACAGTGGGTGGGGCTTCTTCTGCACCTGGAATCATTGGTCCGGCTGCTGTTTGGAGAAGCGATCAGTGTGGAGCAGTGGTCAGTGTAATGCAGTGCCGGTCAACCCATTTGGCAATATAGGAAAATAGACCATCTTCTCTTCGTCTTCACTGCACCGGTGATGAAGGTTGTTTGAGGGGGGAGGCAACGGCAGTGAAGCTCAGTGTTAACATGGTGTTGCGTAGGAGCGAGGGATGAAGTGAAGAGCACCAGAGCCTCCTCCCAGCAAACCCTGGAGAGTGCATTTGAAGGAGTTAATCAGGTCCACTGTTACCTCTCTTAGGACTTTATTCCGGGGAGTGTTTTGCATGTCTGAAAGTTCAGCCTAGTTCTCCACAATCAAAAGTGCACCGAGAAAGATCTAGAGTGGGAGAGAGAGAGAAAGAGAAGACCAAGGGGTGGGGGGCTCACCGGTGAGAGGGGGGGTATTACTTACATGGTTGCAGAAGCCTGGAATGAGTTTCAGCATTTCGTCGCCTAGTCGCACTTGACAGATTCACATTTTTTCAGACAAATGCTTTGAGTTCACCTGAATGAATTATATTTACTCCCAAACCTGTTGAATGAATAATAGAGAGCATAAATCACTCTAATTAACAGTTATGCCAATTAACAGTTATGTGATCCTTGTGTGGTGCAGGTCAACCACCATTCCCCTGCTTATACCTTTATGAAATTTTTCCTCCAGATATATTTCCCTCGTTCTTTTTTTCTCTTTCTCATTTCTTAGCTTCCAAAAAAACCCCTTTTTTTGTCCCTGTAAGCTGTGGCAGTGCTCTTACTATAAAGCAGCTAATTTTGTCCATGTTTAATAATTCAGGAGTGAATATTATGTTTAATTATGGGATAAACAGCTTCTCAAGTAGCCTTTGGTTGATGTTTTGCTTTATCTCTTTTTGGCTGCTGAGTTTTGATACCTCTCGCCCGCTCAGGCGTTATTGTCACCGCGCGGAAGTTTGACCGCGAGCGGCAGAGGGAATATGTAGTCACAGTGACCGCCACGGACCAGGCGGCTGAGCCGCTCATTGGGATCTGCCAGCTCAACATCTTCATTCTGGACGAGAACGACAACAGTCCCAAATTCGAGAACCTGCGTTACGAGTGTGAGTGCCAGCCTCCGGCAAGCGACTGTGGATCTCCGTCTCTGCGGCCCCTGAGCTTGTCACTCCTCATAGACAGAGCATTCATTGTGGGTTCCTTTTAGAATCAAAAACTTTATTGACCATTTGCAGCAGGTACATTGGAATGTGTAGTCATTCGGCCTCACTTGGTTAGAAAAGTCTAAACAAGACAGTGCAAAACGATAAAAGACAGTGTAAAACAAAACAATACAAAACAACACAAGACAAAATAATACAGATAGTGCAGATGACATGGGGAAAGAAACTGTTCTTCAATCTGGTAGTCAGAGTTCTGATGCTGTGAAACCTTGTTACTGTTTGTGGCTGCGGTGGCTGGGGTTCTGAGTTATAGAAAGAGTTCTGCTCCTGAAATCATTGTTACAGCAGCGGTTAAGGTACAGCTGGTCAATGGAGGGTAGTTCAGTCTCTGCGATCTTCTGAGCAGACTTCACAGCCCTCTGTGTATTGCCTTCCTGTCAAGATCTGTGGCTCCACCACATTAGGTTTGGGTATTATTCAATGCCTGACTCATCGAGTTTCTAATTCCATCTGAGTGCTAAGTACTTTCACCATCAATGGCTGACTGTACATGTCATTTGTTGAATCTGTGCCTCTGTCATTTCCTATGACATTTGCAATGTTGCCGTCAGTCTATTTTATCAGACAAATTTTACAGTGTCAGTGTCAATGAAACAAGTTGTGATTGGCAGATGTGTCCACGGTTGGGAATGTTTTCAGGTGCTCCTTCTTGGGGTGGAAGTAAGGTGACTGGGGTTGTTGCTATTGATTCACTACATTTCTCCATCCCTCATGTCTGACGGAATAAAACAACGCCCTGTTCCTTCTCACCTCCAGTAACACTGTCCTTCCTGAATCTTGTCACTCGTTTCTTTCCCCAAGCACAGACCCAGATTTGGTTTTGACTTATTAAGGTGCTTCTTGGGCTTGGCACAGTGGTGCAGTAGCTCACCCAGTTGCTTCACACTATTAGAGACCAGGGTTCAAGTCTTGGTTCTATGTGGGGAATTTGCATGTTGTCTCTGCATAGGACAAGTGAGTATGGATGAAAAGAATTTATTTATAGAATTTAATTTATTTTCATTCATCTTGTTTTGCGTCAAACACCACAGCCAATAAATAGGCCTTCCTGTGTTCATCCTCATGCCATATGTTTCAGTATCTCCACCTGACCATTCTTATTGTGACTTTGCACTTTGAATACCATTTACCTCCCTAGTGCCATAATTCAGTGCCGCTGTCCAGCATTAACGGTGCATATCCTGTTTTGGCATCTAGTATGGAGTTCCAATGTAATCCCAATGGAATCGTACACTGTAATGCTTGTTACTAATTAGCATTCTGAAAAAGTGCCTTTAATGCCTGGTGTTGGTGTGCAGACTTCCTGCGGGAGGATACGATGATCGGCACCAGTTTCCTACGTGTAGCAGCGCATGACGATGACCACGGCACCAATGCAGCTATCACATACTCGATGTCCAAGGAGCAGCCGGAGTACCTGAGAGTGAACCCTATCACGGGCTGGGTCTTCGTCAACCAGCCCATCTCTCAGGTGAGCCTTAGTCCAATCTGTGTTTGTTGGGTCTAAATTATTGCGTTTATGAGTCTAGGTCATGACCCTATACACACCTATCCTAGGCTAGCACCTATCCATTTGTGCTGGATGTGTATCTAATTTCACATCGCAGGAATTTCTTGCTGTCAAAGACTCAAGATGCTTTTCCTTAAGTTTATAGTCCTTGAGATCAGTGTAGGGACAATACAACAGTAAGGTTCTTTATTATAGTGCCTTATTACCATGACTACAGACTTTCTGCAGCTTGGGGCCATTGCATTCAGAGTAAGTTTTGGCCCTTATGAAGACGTTATAAAACTATGACTCACCCTGAAGTGTTTGTTTTGTGAATTCAGCTTTGTTCCACCTACTGTACCCAGTAAGTCTCTCCTTGGCCGCTTCCCCTGATAATGAATACAGAGGTCCTACATCACCCGGGAGATAATGGCCACGGACGGGGGCAACCGCAGCAGTGCCGTGGAGCTGGCTGTCACCATCACCAACGTGAAGAACCAGCCGCCACAGTGGGAGAGGGACAGCTACGAGGTGGTCATCCCAGAGAACACCATGAGGGACACCCCCATCGTGGTGCGTACATGCCCTGCCAGTACAACAACACGCCGTCGAGCTCCTGAGCTGTTGACCAAAGAGAAAAGTTGCCTTTAAATGAGAAACGTAAAGTGAGAGTGATATAAAAGACTCACCAAACACAGAGGGCCCTCAAACAGGTTGCACTACTGCAATTTACTACCTCTTTCCATAACTGATGCAAGCAAATCATGTTATCAGGAGATTTATTTTTTGAGGTAAAGCTGCAGTGTAGCGTTTTGTGTTTTTTAGCTGCAGAAGCTGAGGGATTCAGTCTTGGTTCTTATCTTAAATAGCCAGTGATGTCACAACTGGTCTTTCAGAACTTACACAGTAACTTAATAGTGACTTAATGGCAAATTCCACTGCTACTTTTACAGCTAATACTGTTTTTGTAAGGTTGTTTCTACTCATGGTTTTGCTGTGGCACCCCCAGTGGGTATAAGGCCCACTGATCAGGCCTGGACCCCCATGATGCACAACTCTTACCACCTGGACCCTTACTTGGGGTCTGGCCAAGTTGCCGCCAAAGATGGCAGGACTGACACCAGTTTTACCCACAATTCCATTTACATATTGTTAGCGTGACCCCATAAGTTGAGGACTTACCTTACTTACCTTATGAAATTGGCAGTAGCCTTGGCTACCTTTATTGTCCTGACCCTCAGTAACCTCTGGAGGTCTCTCTTATGTACCGCCTTTACCATAGGGATGACACCCTCCCCCCACCACACCCCGTCTCCGCCTGACTTCTGATTACACAGTTATTTCGAATTAAGCCATTTATTCTTGCATCATGTGACTGGCAAGGGAGTCTGGATTATTCATAATCACTTGGGTGTTTTTTTTCCACAGATGCATTGAAAATTAATTTGCAGAATTTTCTCTGGATCTTTTAATAAGACATTAACAGCTTTTTAAAAATGCAGATGAATATTTCACGGTGGAGAAAATTAATGAGGCTCCGCTGGGCTCCGGCTGATAGAACCTGAAAATGTTGTTTGTGCTGTGATTGGAAGATGGAATGTGGCAGGGTTTGTACTTGTAAGGAATATAATGGTCTGATTGTCTCAGTGGGTAATCCCATGCACTGCGACCTCTGAAAGAACACAAACCCTTAGTGATGACTTTGGGGGCAACATTGTTTTTCATTTCCATCGACCCCAAGTCTGCCTTACACACGTTTGCATAATTGTAATTACCTTATTCCCTTTGGATAATCACTTGTATTGTACTTTTTGTGGTTTGTTTTACAGAAATCTGCTAAAATAAATCTAATCTGCTGATTGACTTGCTGATTCTCTAGTATATGGGATACTGTAGAATAAGCCTGCTGTTCCCCATATGATAACAGAACATCAAGGCCACGTCCCCACTGGGTGACCCCCGTGTGACTTACAACCTGGAGGACGGCATGGTACCGGAGACCAACATGCCAGTGCGCTTCTACCTGACGCCCAACCGCGATGACGGCTCTGCTTCCATCCTGGTGGCTGAACCCCTAGACTATGAGACCACGCGGCACTTTACGCTCAGGGTCCGTGCCCAGAACGTGGCTGCCGTTCCCCTGGCAGCCTTTACCACTGTCTCCGTCAACATCACGGGTGCGTGACCCCACCTCTGCTACCAAACAGCTTTCCAAAGCCTAACTCTGTTCTGGACCCCGCTGTTCCATTCAGTTAGCACTATGGATAGATCGCGTTTTTTCAGATTTGTAAAATTATAAATCTACCTGGCCAAGTGGGGCATAGAACATACAAAATGCCTGTAAAACAGCCCAGAACAAAGAACTACACAGCTTGCTGATGTAGCATTGTGGAGCATAGATCCATAGTGTCTAGAGTGTCCATCATCATTCAGAATCTTTTTGAAAGTAGCCTTCCTTAAAATTGAGTGTATTTGCAATGAAGGCTGACATGGATCTAGACATACATTGCAGAAATCACCCATATAGATCGTGTGTTTAGGTTTCCTCCCTGAACCAATGTAGCCAAAGATAGGGGCAAATGTAGAACCGATCCAGAATGTTGCCCAATCTAAACAGGGCATGGATTTGTTACCAAGGCTGGAATAAAGAGTGGGATGGTGTCACATGCGTACTCTTTGTGGCTAAATCAGAGGTCTATGTGCTGACATGTCGCTTCTGCTGATGTCTGTGTGAAGAGATGTATGCTGTATGAATCTGGACCTGCTTCCTGTGAAACTATTCCCTTTCTTCCTGCAACACATGTCATCGCACAGTCGCTCGATTTAGCCACCAAGAGTGCCTAAAGACAGACAGGGTCTAAATGCAGCTGCATGCAGCGTAAATCTAGTACATCCCCCCCCCGACCGGTGGCCTGAAATGCACCCAGCCAGTGGCAAGGTCCACTCCATCGTTTCTGTATTTATTCGACTTGTAATGTTGTTCTTGATATACTCAGCATTTATTGAACACCCTCAAGGAAGGGAGAGAGACAAACAACATCACAGACATCTAACCTTATTCCCTCCCCAGAAAGAAAGATGTTGGATAAAAAAGGCTTTTGAACTGCATACAGCTAAAGTCGGTGGTTTCGAATGTGCAATATGGCTTTAATTTTCGATACTTTTTGGGCAAGGCACCCCGCTGTGATCCACCACTGCTAACAAAGAAGATGGTGCTTTTTTTGTCAGGGAAGAAAACTGGTGAAATTGCTGTTTGTGATTCGGCGCTGAGTAGCTGACACATTCATCCTCGAAAGCAGGGTGTGAATGTTTATGCTGTAGTCGTCTGTTTGGCATGTGACAGCACTTGTGATTGGTGGATTTTACTGCCTGTGTTAGAACAATTTGTTTTATAGACTGGGAAAGTATTAATCCAGAAATCAAAACAACTGGTATTTTGGATGTTTAAAGTATCGTGGTTTTCAGAAAATTGTTATGCAGTAAATGGACCTTCGTAACAGGCAACTGCAGTAAACACATCTCCATTTATCACCTACTGTTTCTGGTTTGAGCTGCATGTGCAGTAAGTTGGTGGCCGATTTCGGCTATTCAGTGGGGCAAAGTAGAAGCTTTTCTTTTATTCAGTATCTTCAAAGTCTCACTTTCTTGCTTGGCCACTCACAGATTCAAGCCAATACATTAATTGCATAGAAATGTCGGGACTTACATAACCAATGTACTATTAAATATATAATTCACCCCTTATCTTAGTTGCTGTTTTATCTAAATTATACCCATAAACTTACTCTGACAGGTTAAATGGCATTAAATGACATTCTGTTTGTAAATACTTAGCTGACATTCAGCAATATGCATGTAATTCTGGTGCACTTATGTAATTATATCAAGCTGGGTCATTGACTGTCCATTGAAGCTTCATTAATGACATCCTCATTTCACCATTACAGATGTCAACGACAACGTACCATTCTTCACCTCCTCAATTTACGAGGCCATGGTGACAGAGGGGGCAGATATCGGGACTCTGGTCCTCCAGGTGTTCTCCACGGACCTGGACCTGGGCCTCAACGGGAAGGTCAGTGATCTTGAAAACCATTCATATCCTCCTGAGACCCAAGGAAAAAAGTGTCCTTCAATTGTAGGTTATTTGTCTTTGGGGGGAAATAAGACATCTTCCAATTTAGATTTTTTCAAATGTATTTTTATTTTTAATTTCACAGCATGTCCTCTTTAGTGTACAACAGGAATAAATATGTTTCCTTACATCAGTGAAAAGATAGATGCAAAAACAAAATGTCCACTGCAATGGACATAAATGAATGGGTGGGGTCTCAGGAGGATATTAGTGTACATTATAAATTAAATATGCATTCAATTTATTATACCTCTGATGAGGTGTTAGCAGAGGTGGGTCTGGGGCCCCACTCACTTTGGGGCTCCTGCCCCGCTCAGATGTTTTAAAAACTAAACAAATGCTAGTCAGTCAGATTGTAACTAGCTAGCTGGTTAGCAGAATGTGCTGGTCATTCTTGAGGTGGTATTACAGATGACCTTTGACCTTCGAGCCGTGTCAGTCAGGCAGATGTGTCACGGTTTTTCTCTCTTGGGGGGGGGGGTTTGTCACCTGATCAGACTCCGGTATTTCATTAAAATGCAGCATTGTTCATTCATGAGTCCTAACACATGTCATGTTATTCATTCTTTATTCATTTATATCCTATTTTTACAAAGGAAGCATGAAATATTGTTGAGTAAGATTCAGAAGGCTTTTGAAAAGTGCCGGATACTTTGAATCCACACAAAAGTGCCTGTTTGCCGGGTTTCTCTGCCGAGCCCGGTTCAGAGCTGAGGATGCGCTTCGCACCTTTCTGTTTTGTTAATATTCTGTATTAATAAAAAGGCCACTAATGATAATGCCTTTGTCTAAAAATCTTTCCACCCCAAGGGGGTGTGTGCCAAGTCCCTCATTACGGACTAATTGAGTGGGCTGGAAAAAACTCATGTTTTTTTTTTTCAGCTTGATGTCAACTAAAACAAATCTTTTGTTCGCGAATCCAGCTCCTTAATCACCAGGCTGTCCCCCCCCCCCAGATTTCCTATTCCCTGCTGAAGGACCGCAGCGGAGACCACCGCTTCTTCCGCATCGATCCGGAGACGGGCTCCATCTATACGGAGGTGGTGTTTGATCGCGAGACCAAGGGCTCCTACTTGCTGGAGGTGAAGTCGACAGATGGGTGGGAATCGGCCAGACCGGGGAGGCACGGCCAGCCCAACTCTGGTGAGTGTCAGTCTCGGGTGAGACAAGGGGGCCCAGTGGGCATTCACACCCAAAACTCACCCATAAATTTATTTAGTAGATGATGCTTTATCTAAAGCGACATGTAGATTTTGAGAGATACCATGGTGGAGTAACTGGGGTTAAGGACCTCGCTTAAAGGTCCATTGGTGACATCACTCTGCCGACCCTGAGCACTGAGCATTGAACCAGCGACCTTCTAAGCACAGACACTGTGTCCTAACTTGCCAAGTCCAGTATATGAGCTGACAACCTTCTGAGGACAGGCACAGCATCTTAACCTGCTGAGCCACATGTTGCCCCCAAACATAGAGCCTTTTGGAACAAAATGCAGGTGTACATACCAACCCATAGAAAATCTCACCAGATCATACAGCTTCCTACAGACAGCAGACACATTGATCTTGATATTTCTCACCCAACTTTTTGACACCAGCAGGTCCCCTCCGAACAGAAATACAACTGGATGGTTTTATCATCCTGGTAGAAAAAGGTTTTACTTCGCCATGCTAAGTGAAAATGAGAAGGCAGCCTGAGGAGATTCATTTTTCATACCAGCGGTCCTGGATTATTAAAAGAGCTATCCAGGCTAATTCATTCGTTGTGGTATTTTTGACAGTGTAAATACTGTTCAAATATTAAAGGTGAAATGAAAAATAATGTGAATTCTCGACTAGGCAGAAGGTGCTATCAATGTTAGATGAAGGTAAACAGGGACATTTCAGAGTTGCATTGGAGCTGGAAGTGTGCCCCCCCCCCCACCCCCTTGCTCACATCAGTACTGCATGCATGGGCTGTGCCTGTCACCTAGCTCAGCCTGGGTGAACCAGAAGAAAACTAGGAAGCGCAGGAACATGTACTGTAGAAGATCAACTAAAGAAAAGAAAAAATCTCTTGCCAGTGAAGAAAATGGGCTTGTAAATACCATGAAATGAGAATCATTACTGTTTTCACAAGGCCCTGGACCGTCAAGGAGGGGTATATGCAGGGGCGGGGCCACTAGGACACTGGCCCCAGCTAAAAGCTGATTGGCCCTGGGAGTGCCCTTTCTCATGACAGTAAAAATTATATTATTGAGTAATAATAAGGTTGGCTACTTTGTATGGATTATGACCTTTCTTGTGCCCCCCCACCTTAAATGATCCTAAACTTGCCCCTGCGGTCAGGTAATTGTTCTTTTTTCTGTCGGGTTGTGCTCAAAGTTTAGATGATTGCGTTTAGCCCTGTGGCAACATTAGTGGAGCATTAGTGGAGCCCCCTGTACAACCAACTGAAATGATTTCTGTCACCTTGCAAAGTGTATTACAGATGATGTTGCTTTTGATATCTGTATCAAATGGCGCATATTTAATCACGGTGATGCCCTTAAGTCATCCCACCAATCCCCCACCCCCCACCGGGAAGGATTCTATCACATCTGTCTTCTGGCGTCTTCAGAAACAAAACCACGAGGATGAGCTGGCTCCGGGTGACAGAATAAGAGCAACTGGATTTCCGTTTTAATCTCCCATTTATCATTTCCACAGACACGGCGTACGTGCGCATTTTCATCAGCGACGTCAATGATAACAAGCCCGTCTTCACGCAGAGTGTCTACGAAGTCAGCGCTGATGAGGACGCTGATGTCGGCTTCGCTGTTGTCACTGTCAGCGCCCACGACGACGATGAAGGTCTGCAAGGGTGGGGGGTGCAGGCACATGTCCCTTGAGGTCGGTACCACCAGCCTGTCAGTCTAGACGGGAGAGTAAAGTGGTCAGACAGTATGCCAAGGACTGCAGCCAAGTACTGTAGGATGGCAAGTGGTCTGCTGACCTGGGGGCTTATGCAGACTGAGGGGAACCAGTCTCTGGGGGAGGAAGCAGCTACCGCCAACGGAAGGGTGCCAGTGATCTTCAGAGACAGGAAGGTGGGGACAGGAAGTATGGGGAACCTAGGGACGCAAAAGGCAGGGACAGGAAGGCAGGGAAGGGGACCTGGGGACACAAAGGCAGGGACAGGAAGGCAGGGATGGGAACCTGGGGACACAGAGGCAGGGATGGGAACCTAGGGACACAGGCAGGGACAGGAAGGCAGGGATGGGAACCTGGGGACCCAAAGGCAGGGATGGGAACCTGGGGACTCAGAGGCAGGGACAGGAAGGCAGGGATGGGAACCTGGGGACCCAAAGGCAGGGATGGGAACCTGGGGACTCAGAGGCAGGGACAGGAAGGCAGGGATGGGAACCTGGGGACCCAAAGGCAGGGATGGGAAGGCAGAGAAAGAAGTGTTCTGTCTAAAGGCACTGAGAGAATCCAGAAGGCCATGGGGATTGAGGTGGTATCACATGCATCATCGCGTCCGGCAGCCGCAGCGTAAACCTTAGCTGGGGTGACAATCTAGTTCACTTTTCCTGTAAACAAATGTGTTTTTGTGAGAACAGCGCTGGCAGCGTACCCTCGGAGATCCACTCGGTGGCAGTCGGCCGCTGGAAGGACTGCCTCCAGGATCTGTGTGCCAATAGACATGATAGTGCCTATTCCTGTGTTCCTCTTGGGCCAGGGGATTCTGACGAAGTAGGCAGTGTGGGCGCCCGGGGATGGGGTTTTGCGTGGTCAGAGGGCATTTCTAACATTGTTTGTTTGTGTTCCCACTGCTTAGCTGCTACCAGGAGAATCTGGGAACAGGAAGTGCAGCATTCCGCATTAACGCGAGGGCCATGATGGGGCACGATTATACTGTCATGCTTCTCTTTGTTTCTCCCTTATGGAGCAAGTCTTTAATGCTTTGAGAGATTTGTTGCCGTCATTCAGTTTTGGTGTCACTCTGAAGGTTTTATGTATTTATCTTTGCTTGTCGCTCGACTGAAGTAATCTTTCAGAGGATAAAGTCATTCTGTGCTTGTTTGGATTACATGTTCAAGCGTACCTAAAATGAGCAAACATTACTTTCACTATTACAAGCAGTGCTTAAAGTAGGAAAATCAGGTGCCAGTACTCCCTTTGTTATTCAGTTCTGGCAGATTATGAGAGGTACCGGTACACAAGAAACACCTAAGTACTGGTGCTTTTGTACTTGTGAATACTGGCCCACTTCAAGTACTGACTACTCTTATTACTATTACTGTTACTTTTATAATGTGACATAATTATAAAATGCCTCGGGCCTATGGAAATGTGTGTGGTGGGGTCTCCTTACTGCCGTGCCACAGGGGCCAATGCCAAGCTCCGCTACCAGATCACCTCAGGAAACATGGGCGGCGTCTTCGACGTGGAGCCCGAGGTGGGCACCATCTTCGTGGCCCAGCGGCTGGATTATGAACAGGTTCGGAAGTACCGGCTGCGGCTTCTGGCCTCCGACGGCAAGTGGGAGGACTACTCCATGGTGGTAGTCAATGTGGTCAACAAGAACGATGAGGCCCCCGTCTTCTCAGTGAACGAGTACTACGGCAGTGTGACAGAGGAGTTGGACGGCTCGCCCGTCTTCGTGCTGCAGGTGCATCTGACTGGCTGCCAATTAACAGACTAAATCAATTTGAAATCTGAAAATAACTTCAGAAGCGCAAGGGGGTGGCTGGGTTATATTATGCATTTGAATCTATTACTTTTTATGTCTTCTTGAACCATTGTCTGTTGGTTCTGGTAGCTCAATGGGGTAAGACTGATGCTTCCGGTTTCATGGTCACCTTACTTTGGGACAGTGTTTTTGGCCAAGTTGTTTGAGTTGGTGCCTTTGATCAAAAATCCTTGGGTCGGCAGAGTTCAGTTAATTTTACTGCTCTAGTGGTCAGATTAATAGGCTAAATAATACTAGAATGCTTTTATTGGTGAAATTTAACATTAATTTTAATATTTGCTTATGAGTGGTGAGCATCCAACATTGTCCCTTGAATATGCCTTTGTTCTGGGCAAGATTCTCTACTTTGAAAGAAATGCTGAATTTTGGTTAAAAATATATTTAATAAATACTTCTAGGGAATCAAAACCCATAAGACAAAGTTCTGTTACGCTTATAGTTGTAGAAAATGCAGCCTTTTGTTATCCTCGCTTTCTGCCTGGTAATTAAATTTGACTCCAGAACACAATTATAAATGCTTCATAAGGCTTCTGAGGTGTCAGTGTATTATTTCTCAAGAAAAGATTTTGTTGAAGTTGGGTTAAAAGAACTGACCAGAGGCAGCACTGACTAATCAAAGAGCACCGATCCCTAATTTTAAAAAAAAGTTACCCTCTATTGCGGGAGTGCAGAAAATTTAAAGGAAATATCTTGAGTGTATTCTGTTTGATCTTACAGGTGACGGCGACTGACCCAGATAAAGATGCATCCCAGGAGGCACTGCGCTACTCGCTGCATGGCCAAGGTGCCGACAGCGAATTTGTAATCGATGAGGTGACAGGCAAGATTTATGCCCAGAAGACCTTAAACCGCGAGGATCGAGCCGTGTGGCGCTTTGTGGTGCTGGCCACAGATGAGGGTGGGGAGGGGCTCACAGGATTTACCGACGTCATCATAAATGTTTGGGACATCAACGACAATGCACCCGACTTTACCTGCATGCCTGACAGCTGCCATGGCCAGGTACCAGAAAACTCCCCCCCTAATACTTCTGTCATGGAGATGAGTGCCACAGACCTGGATGATACTGCTGTGGGCCAGAATGCTGTGTTGACCTACAGAATTGTGGGTAATGCCCATGGCGGCCCTGGCTCTGAGCTCTTTTACATCAACCCCAACACAGGCACCATCTACGTGGCACGTGTTGAGTTGGACAGGGAACGGGTGGACAGGTACCACCTAGTGGTGGAGGCCCGAGACGGCGGAGGGATGGTGGGCACGGGCACGGCGACCATTCTTGTTACTGATGTCAACGACCACGCACCTAGGTTCATGGAGAACACCTGCCGGGCCCGTATCTCCGAGAGTAGTGAGGTGGACTCAGCTGTGCTCGAGTTGTCAGCCACGGACGCCGATGTCGGGGAAAACGCCCATGTGACTTTCAGTGTGGTTGCTGGAGACCTGGACCAGAAGTTCTATGTGGTGAGCCGGCGGCAGGAGCGGCGTGCCACACTGCGGCTGAAGAAGAAGCTCGACTACGAGAAGAGCAGCGAGCAGCGCTTCAACATCACGCTCAAGGCGGAGGACCTGGACTTCTTCAGCCTCATCCACTGCATCATTGACGTGGACGACCACAACGACCACGCCCCTGTGTTCATCCCCCACTTTCATCTCCTCCCTCCGCTGCCTGAGGATGTGTTGGTGGGCAGCAGCGTCACCAAGGTCACCGCCAGTGACTCCGATTCAGGTCCAAATCAGGAGATCATGTACAGCATCCTGCCGGATTCAGATCCTTATGGGCAGTTTTCCGTGGATCAGACCGGCCTTATCACCATCGTCAATGCCCTGGACCGGGAATTGGTGGCGCAGCACTGCCTAGTGATTTTGGCCACCGATAAAGGCATCCCGGCACAGACGGGCAGCGCCACAGTCCAGATGAGTCTTCTGGACATCAACGACAACGGGCCGGAGTTTGAGGCAGGCTACGCGCCCATGGTGTGGGAAAACGTGCCCGGCCCCCAGGTTGTGCGCCTGAACCAGAGTTCCACACTGTTGCACGCAGTAGACCGTGATTCTGTGGAGAATGGAGCCCCCTTCTCTTTTGCCGTGCCTCCAGATCACCCTGCCCGCCGCGACTTCCGCCTGCTGGACAACGGCAACAGCACGGCCACAATAACGGCCCTCCACACCTTTGACCGCGAGAGGCAGAAGGAGTTTTACCTGCCCATCATCATGACGGACAGTGGCCGGCCTCCAATGAGTGTTACCCACACGCTAACCATCACCATTGGTGATGAGAATGACCATGCCCACCAGGCGGGAACCAAGGAAGTCTACATCAACAGTCACCAAGGTGAGGTGAAATATCATTTTTGCTCTGGAGTAAAACACTATATTTAGGTATTTGGATTCAGGGAAATACTACCTGAACCACATTTTATGTTCATCCCTTTTGCTCTTGTTTTGGCAATGGGCTTCTTTTAAGATGTCAGTTTAACTGATTACTATTTATTTGCTAAGCAGATTGTTGACATGCAGATGATTCATTTTTTTCTACATTGGCCTAATAACACTGATTACAGTTTGTTCACCAGTTGGCCACCTGTATGTCATGCTCAGTAATAAATACATAACATAATTAGTTTCACTTGATTTCCCCTAAAGCAGAGTCCCAATCTCATGCATAGTATTTCTGTTCCCTTGGGACAGGAAAGATGCCAACAACCATCTTGGGCAAAGTCTATGCTCCAGACCCGGATGACTGGGATAATAAGACTTATACCTTTGAGGGACATGTACCAAAGTAAGATTTGTTTCATTTGTTGTTAAGCTGAAGTTAAATTCACAGGTTATGTGTATTTGTGGTAAAACCTTCTATAGGCATATATTTATCGAGGTTTCAGGAAAGTCCAGCGATATTTGACGATTCTTTTGTTAGTCTTTTGATGCCATATCACTGGATTTGTCAAGGCTTATTAAAATCACTGGGCTGAATCGATTTTTTTTTTAAGATGTACGATATTGTATCTCAGCGTTCGCCAAAGTTTGGGAAGCTGCCACCAGCTGATCAGACAGATCTCGTCTTCTTCTCTCCCTTTGGTCTGTCTCGCAGTTTCTTCATTCTGAACAAAAGGACAGGCTTCCTCATCATCAGGGAGAGCACCCCGCTGGGCAGATACGAGTTCAAGGTGCGGGTGTCGGACGGGGTCTGGCCAGATGTGGTGTCCAGTGTAGCTGTACATGTGAAGGAGCTGAAGGATGAGGCTGTTTACAAGTCAGCCTCACTGCGTCTGGCAGGTAACACCAGCATGAGGAACTTTGCAGCACTTCACCTGAAATATGACATATATGTGCTATTTTATTTATTTATTCCAGTTAATCTAGAATTTTCCCCTGAGATCAGCAAATTTTGTCATATTATTTTGTATTACTTTATCGTGTTTTATAATTTGCATTTGATCCCAATCAAGATAAGCGGTTTGAAGATGGATGGGATGTTATTAGTTTATTATTAATTTTTTTTAGAAGACAGTCATATTTGGAACAGTGTGCATAACATTAATTTGGCCAACGTTGCCCTTGTACACATTTGGGTCCTGGATATTGACAAGTGTCACGTTCATGGTTTGTCAGCCTAGAATCTGGTTAGACATCTGCTGCTTTAATCAATATGCAGCCTAATGCCCCATGGGGAAAAATACCCAGACACTCCAATCTTGCTTGGCAACATGAAGATTAGTATGGGAATAACAGGATCTGGTTTGTGAAGCTCCCTTTTAATGGGCAGTGTGGATATCTAGCTGCATATGGAAGAGTGGCTTTTAATGTAATTATATCCCTATTTGCACTTATATCACTTTGTACAAAAGTGTCTGCTAAATAAAACAAATGTAACATGTTGTAACTTTTTCTTTTCCCTTTTAATAAACTAAATTCTTTTCAATGCTTGTTTGAAGCCATTCACAGTTCCCCTTCCTAAATACTTCCTAAATAACTTTTAAATGTGTGAGGAATTGCTTGTTGAACCTGTGGTGAATGTCATTTAAAGGTGTGCTGCAGTGATAGGGACGAGTGACTGTTTCAGCTTTTATAGAAGTAGCCTTGGTTGTTTTTCAGATTATCCATTTGATTTTGTTTAATCTCAAAATAATTGTGCTCTTGTCAGGAAGACGAAATGTGCGTTGTTGCCTATGGGATTCCTATTGCTTCAGATATGTCATAAGAGGTGCTAACATTCTGTTTAATGTAAATTAATATTTGATTTAAAGAAGAGAAATTGGCAGTTATTGCTACGGGATTTGGATTATTAAAAACAGAGCATGAGGAACTGAGCTACTGCGAAACAGACTCATAAACAGGTCTGCTGTGATTGCGAGCTGTCAGCGTGCCAGGCCTGTTGGGGGCGGGGTTTCTCACATGGTGCTGCTCTCCCATAGAGGGCCCGTTTGTCCACCAGTAAGATCCGTAATGGATATTCCCAGATGCCCCCGTGGCTGATGGCTGCTTGATGGGCATGATGTAATACTGAAGGGAACATAATTTGAATGCACTAATAGGATCATTTGAAAGATAACGTTTGCAAAGGGCATAAAAATGCTAATAAAATTAATGAGATAAGCTATCACTCTTTTTCCGGTTTGGGTCTTCAGGATATTTTAAGAACTATCGACCTGTATCCAAACTTTGTACAGACAATTGGAGTGAAAAAAGACTATTTACCCCAACATTATCTCCGAAAATTATTTATATTTGTTGGTTTTGATTGTAAAATGTTACTTATTTATATTTCTGCATGACAGATTGACAAAAGGAGGAAAAATAGTGATTACAGGACTAATGGTGCTGGAAAAAAAAACAAATCAGGTTTGGGATCATTTCAGAAGGCTTCACTGGACCAGCAAGCACTCATCTCTCTAATCTCCACCCTGACTGCATATAAATGGGAATTATTGCCACGGACCTACCAGGTGTTGAATCCTTGAGTAAATGTATTAATACCCCTTACACCTGAAAAGGGTAGTAATGATGTGAGAATGGGTACACTGCAAATCATTTACTGTAGTGGACACAATGTTTTACTCCAGCCTGACATTAAGAAACTTTTTGTCTGGAAAGATGGATCCCTGCTCTTGTCTCTGGTCCTACAACCTGCACATTATGAGAAGGAATGAGGTAGCGTAATGCTGCTTTGGTCGTTGTCATTTCATCTTGTTTAGTGACCACTTGCCATCCCTCCACCGTGGGGCCAGAGCTAAAGCCCGCTAATCACTATATTACACGCTCTGAGGGGTGTTTGACCATTAGATTGCCGGGTGGCCATTCATTTTGAATCTGAGTCATAAAGATTATGAAACGTTGCCCTAATGTTGCTGTCAGCTGACATGACATTTAAAATCGCATTAGGAGAACAAATGTACAGTGAAATGTAATAAAGGCGGGAAGTTCTACTCCGTGGAGATTAGAGTAAGGCTGTTCTTTGTAGTTGGAGTGAAAATTTATTGATTGGTGAAAAAAAATGTGTTTTTACAGTAAGACCTTGAAAGGCTTTTAAATCCCTGGCTTTCCACGTGGATGCATATGGGCTGGTTTCAGGACTTACACAACTTGAAACTTTTTAAGAAGACAGCATATGGGGTCCTTTCCAAGACAAGGGTCTTTAGAGAAATCACAGGGTAATTGACAACTTGAGCTATTTTTTTTAAATTATTATTATTTCTACCTGGGAACAGATCAGAGCGGAACTGCAAGGTGTATGTAACCTGAACTGGCCTGTAGGGTACAATGTGATAAAACCAGTGCAAATGTATCTTATAATGATGATGATTTTAAAAAAAAGACATGGTTGAGAAGAGATTAATTTGAGCCTTTACGCGAAACCAAACTAGGTTTGTGCATATTGAAAATAATATAAGTTCTTCTTTCCGTATGTTGTGGTACTATGTGTAGAGATGGTTGTTGGTTACTTTAAGTGCCTGTTGCTTTAAGAGTGACCCTAGGGACCTAATCTGAGAGGCTGAATGAACATCACAGTGCAGAGCCTGCAGCCTGTCTACCTCATGTGGAAACAGCCACTCATTATAGTGTACTGGAGAGAACAGGTCCAGTCATAATTACTCATATATACCCAATTACTCATAATTGACTCGCACTTAGATCTGCACTGCTTCATAGGGCAACCATACAGACACTAAGCATGACTATGTCCTTGGCCACAATATGAGCAGTGCTAAGTAGGTCATTACCTCACAGCTATAAAAAAAAGCATTCATTTGTAAATAAGGTTTGTTTGTTAGTAATATGTGCCAACAAATATCTGGTGTGAATGCAATCGCCTGCTTTGAGCTTTCTTTACAAACCAAACACTCTTTCCTGATCCTCTTGTCTAGGAGATTAATGTGCCTGAAAATGAGCACTGCATGGTTTCCTGTTCTGCAGGTATCACCGCTACCGAGTTCATTGACCATCGAGTGGGTGGAAGAAGCCGTTTTGAGATGTTGGGGGACTTCCTGTCTGAGATGCTGTCTGTCAGGCCGGAGAACCTCAACATCTTTAGCTTGACGGAGCCCCGGGTGAGGATGTTGGATGTGCGTGTTGCCATGCAGGGCGCCCCCTTCCTGAGGCCGGAGAAACTGCATGGGTACCTGGCCGCACACAAGCAGAAGGTAAATACCTCTGGCACTATTGTTCTGCTGTTACTAAACAGCAAAACTGTGCTTTTCAGCATGAAACCCTGAACAGCTCAACAGTCTGCACCCTCCCAATTTAAAACTGGCTCTCTATCTTAATGTCGAAATTTTAATATGTCGCCCATATATCAAGTTTATATGGCTCAATATCCTCCCGAGACCCAAGGAAAAAAGTGTCCTTCAATTGTAGGTTATTTGTCTTTGGAGGAAATATCTTACAATTTAGATTTTTTCGAATGTATTCTTATTTTAATTTCACAGCATGTCCTCTTTAGTGCACAACAAGAATAAATACGTTTCCCAACATCAGTGAAAAAATAAATGCAAAAATACAATGTCCACTACAATGGACATAAATGAATAGGTCGGGTCTCAGGAGGATATTTATATTTCTTTTCATTTTAACTGTGACCAGCGAGAACAATATTCCAGTGTGAGTGTATGACTCCTGTATCACATATGTGAAATTGATCAAATAAAAGATACTTTGACTTTGGACCTCTGTATGACAAAGTCAGCTTATGATTCCATTCTGTACAATTTTTTTGTTCCCTCCTTCACAGTGTCTATCTACAGTATGCAGACCCACCGTCTTTGCTATTAAAGTGACTAATGTTATATATCATCAGTCAGGAAGAGCTCTAACATAACATAAAACAAAGGACAACATTTGAAAAAGTAGAAAATAAATATGTAAGGAAAGAAAAATAAAAATCAGTATTTAAATTAAATTACAGCTAAATTTTAAAAGAAATATGCAAACACTGAACTGCTATGATAAAACCATGTCTGTTGTGCAAATTGTAGTTGTGTTAATGGCATATATGCATTCAATGTCTGTCCAGAGTACAAGTACCTATAGCAGAGGCAGGTCCTGTGTTAGAGATGCTGGGCTAGTATTCAGGCATGCAGTCCACTCACCTCACCTGCCTGAGGGAGTCCCATCAAGGGCCTCCTCCTTACCTCATTTACTCATCCATCGCCCAGGTCCAGCATGTCGAACTCTGCCCTTTAATCAATGCGCCCTTTGATCATTTTCCCTCATTTTCATCAGGCGAGTGAAAAAGCAGGGAGGCAGCAGTGCTGCCATTGCTCAATTATTTTGCCTTTCGCATCAGGATTCTGGGAGTTTCTCTGTAGACGTGTATCAGAGTACACCGTAGCATGTGGTTAGAGTTAAGATGAGAACTTAGGGGATGTGAAGGCGAAGGATATTAATGTCTGGAATTATAATACTTGTAAATATTTGACTGGGTTCGTTCTTGGCCGTCGTGCCTGAACTTTAACTCGCAGATTAGCACTGTATGATTTGGACAGAGCACGCCTGCATGTGTGTGCATGTATATATGCATGGCCAAGCATATATATGTGTACATGGAAGTGTGTGTGCATTTAAATGCACCTACATGACTCTGATGACTTAGGGACTTCAGATTTTTCACCCAATAGGCGTAATAAGGTATCATTATGTGTTGGGAAAGTGTTCAGGGCCCTTGGGACTGAAAGTTCTCTCTTTAGCGTTCTGCAGGAGCTTGGATCGATACCAGAATGTCATTTACCTGTGGAAGATGGGGTGTGTCTGTGAACTTTGACCTACTGCCGTTTCTCCTCCACGTGCACTTCTTGCCTTTGGCAAAGGGGATAATTTCACATGTGCGATGACATTTGAGGGGACAGCAGCCTTGTCTACGCGTATAGACTCTACTTCTCTAACCATTTATAGAGGGAGATGCACGGATGTGATGAGGCGGTAGGCTGGTGGACTGTTTCTGTCACATGATGCCAAAGACCAGAGTTGATCCGTGCATTGTGCCATCGGTCCAGCACACTTAAAGGACAGTCTGAAAATTGAAATATTTGTCACAATCGAAGCGTATTTATAAGACCTACAACAATAGCGAAATCAAAGAGGAGACCTCCCCCCCGCTTTCAGAAAGCTAAGCTCTCAGCTCAGCTTTTTGTCTCGGGTAACAGCGACAAAGGAGAGCAACAAAGAGGCAGTATAAGGCGCATTCAGCTCTCGTTCGCACCGCCGTTTCCCAAAGCGTGTTTTTGTGCCCCTTCTCTGTAATCTCGGCTGCTGTGCACTTGCATCTCAGCAGTTGTTAAGCTGCCTGATTTCTGTAGACACCACTGAGGCACTGTGGTCGCAGCCCCTTGGGGGGTGGTTGGGGGGGGGGGGTTGCATCCTCGCTTTCATCCCCAGCTGAGCTCAACTGATTGTGGTTGATTGCGATCCCATGGCAAACGCCACCAAGTAGATGGAAAACTGGAACACAGTGAGCAGTGAGCGCGTTTTCAAGTTCACGTGGAGTCACTTAAAACTATGGTTTAGTATCGCTGAATCTTTTGGCACTTTTTCATAGAGTGACTGGAGTATGATATTTATTCTGAGCCGTTTGCAAACAAAACCAATGAAACCTGGTTTTTCTTCATAGCACGGTCAACAGAACATGTATTCCGGATTAAGCAGCCTTGTATACACAGAGAGTATTGAAATATCACTGATGAAGACATGCTCAAACATGCTCATGAATACACATGATTCCTGCGTGACTTTCTACTCCACCTCACTTGTCACTATATTTATAATGATTTCTATCTCCATCAACAACAAAATTCAAGTCCAGATGAACGCACTAATAGGATCCTAACTGGAAAGAATCTGTGACCGATGACCAAGGTTTTTCTCTCCAGGGAGGGGGTGGGATTGACACCACACACATAAACACAAAATCCATGATTGCAGTGGAAAAAAAAAAAAACTACATAAACAAACAAACAGATGTTTTGAGGCTGAATGGGGAATTGAAGAGACTATTCGCCTTAGGACTGCCACCTGCCTGGGGTTTCTGGGTAGCAGGCCGAATCAAAACAGAAAACACCAGTTTTATCAGTGATGGCGGGAGGGGCAGGTGGATCTAATCAATACAAATAAACCATCACCTGGTTCTCACTAACTCACACACACACACACACACACACGCTGCAGCAATCATACCTCTCTCCACAATCACCATCAGCAAGTTCTGCCTGCCTGCTATGCTGATGGCAGTAAAAGGACACTTCCCAGCTGAGGTCTTTGTGGCCCAGGGCAGGAGCCGATGAGAAGTGCAGTGACAGCATCCCTGTTCCGCACAATCTGCTGCCGCTCGCCAGAGCTGAGCTCTGCGGATGAGCTTGAGACTTTCAGGCCCCGTCATGGAAAATGTCATTAATCAACCCAAGTCCCTGGTATGCTCTGTTCGGAATGTTTCACCCACTGTTTGGGAATTTTGATTGCTGACACGGATTTTTCAGTTCCTTTGTTAAGAGTGTTTGTGACCCCAACTTGTCTGGTCATTTTACATTTTCCATAGCAGTTATAGTTACCTAATGAGGATATTTTTGGAGAAGTTGCCCTACAGAAAAAACTGAATAAGCATTTGAAAGTCCCTCCTTGGATAGTCTAATCCACGTAAAATCTCTACACTGGTATCCTGTGTGAACCTCCTCCCCACACACACACACCTGTATCTTCCAGAAATATGGTCAGCAGATGAAGGCAACAGTAATTTCATGAGCGCGTGATGAATGAATAGATAAAATCCTTGACAAATCATGCAATGTCAGGTACTGTAAATATTAGCCTGCGGGTTCTTGAGTGTGATCGTGTAATTGATTTTTTTTTATGCCATTTTGTGCTTTATGTTAATTTGACAGCTTGTTGTTTTCTGTTATTTGCAGTGTGCTTGTTTACATGTCATAATGTGAAAATGTTTGTGCACGTGTGACCGAATCTCGATGATGGAGGCAGGTGTTGACATGATACCTTTGCCTCTCGTCCCGTGGGAGTACAATTTGTCAATGATTTCACTCTGTTCTGGGCTTAACATATTGACATATTAACATATTGACTTAATTGGCCTGAATGTGGTGATGTTGCATTACTCAGCAGAAAGGAGTAAAATCTTTGTGAGAGCTCTTTTTGAGTGTTCACCTGTTTCCTGGGTAGTGGTCACTTTCTCTGGAAACTTCATACAGTAGAATATTTTCTTCCCTGGGGAAGACGGGAAGTGTTTCTATTTTGTGTTTGAGAAATTGGTGAAATTAGGATGGGAGATAAACAATACTATCTGTTCATTTTCTCTATCTTCCACCTCCTGAGAAAGCAAGATTTGGATGCTGCTTCCCACAGCTCTTACAGACTCTATCAGCCAAATCCATTGTGTGATAAAGACTTGCCATGATTCATGTCTTAATTTAGGATTGCCACTTTCTCACTTCCTCTGATTCTGTCGTTCTTTGTCTCAACTCCCTCCCTTTGTCACCCTCCTCCTCTTGTCTCTCCCTCTCTCTCTTCCCCTTCTCCCTCCCTCTGCACACCCCTTCCTCGCTCCTTCTCTCGTCTCTTCCTCTCTGTCCCTTGTCCCACCATCTTCTTCCCTCCGCACATCCCTACCTCCCTTTCCACTTTTCTCTCCCTGTCTCCGTACCCATCTCCTTCCCTCTGCACTTCCTCTCTTCTCTTCCTTTCTCTTTCCCATCTCCTTTCTCCCCACACGCCCCTTCCTCCCCCCTCCTCTCATCTCCATCTCCCCCCACGCGCCCCTTCTTCCCTCGTCATCCTCACCCAGCTGCAGTCGTACCTCCAGGTGAACATCAGCCAGGTGCACGTGGATGAGTGCGCAGACGTGGACTGCGCTGGCAGGGGTGGATGTGCCGATCAGCTGACCATCAGCGATGCACCCGTTGTGGTGGATTCTGGAAGCGTGTCGCTGGTATCTGTCACGGTGACAGCAACTCCCGTGTGTGGCTGCCTGGCAAGGGAGCACATGCACCAATCGTGTGCCTCCTATCCGTGGAACCCCTGTCTCAATGGAGGACAATGCATAGAAACCCAGAGTGGGTACAGGTGAGCAGAGTCTAGCACTGGTTACCCATATACATATACATCCAAGGTGGGTGCAGGTAGCCCTGCGGCAGGGCATGACATTAACTTTTTTGCTCACTGGCCAATGTGGCTAGTGGATTTCCGGAGTCACTAGCCATTCAGCATTTTTACTAGCCACAATTTTGTTACCAGAAAATCGCAGTTTTTTCTTCACCATGATACGTTAATGTTTGTTAGATCTAGATTTACTTATGACAGCATACAATGTATCACTATAGTAGTAGTCAAGTATTCAGTACTGTTAAGATAGCTCCCAATATAAAAACATGCAAACATGAACAGTATATTCTGTTTATTGAAATTAAATTCAAGCCTCTTACGACATGAAATTGAAAAATAACAGATTCAGTACAACTGAACAGTGCATGGTGTTTTTTTCTTTGCAATGAACTAGCCAATCTCGCCCTAATTTCCATTTCTCATTAAACTGTTTTACCTTCCTCTTATCTTGTTCCTCTTGTTTATTTACAGCAGTACCAGCAGGGTCTGAAACACCAGTTACAGTATATGCCGCCACATAATACTGTCCAAGTAGTTGAGAGTAACTTTACAGCTTCTTACCGCAGGTTATCACTGCTAACAGAGACGTTAACGCACGTTCTAAACAAGTTGTATCAGAATGTTGATATAGGTGCTCATGGGAGTTTTATGCGCGTGATATTACGTTGCAATGCGTTTATTATATCAGATGCCTTTAGAGAAAACTACAACAAAAATATATTGTCATACCAAAGAATAAACTACCCGCCAAAGTGGCTAGTGAGACGAAAGTTATTACCCGCCACAGCCGAATTTTACCTGCATTTGGCGGGTGGGCGGGTGCCAATGTCAAGCCCTGCCCTGCGGGTGGTGCGTGGTTCAGTGGGTTAAGCCTGTGTGCACTGGTTGGAATCCTATCCTCAGCAGAATAGTCACATCACCATTGGGTCCCTGAGCAAGGCCCTTATTCCCCCAAAAATGCTCCAGTGGTGCTGGATAAATGACTAACCGCTTAGACCCGAAGCTCTACTCTCACCTCTGTGTGTGTGTGTGTGTGTGTGTGTGTGTGTGTGTGTTTCAGAGGAGAGCAGGATGGGACATGTGAAAAGAAGCATTCCAGCATATCTCTACTGATGACTTGAGCAAATGACTAATTAAGCGTTTTTCACTTCACTAGCTTTTCTTCAGACGTACTAAATACACATGGTGAGCAGGCTGTACACCTGGGCTCTGTGTTTTCACTCATTATGCATTTTGAGAGAGCAAGGTGTCAATGTAGTGTTTGACTGTCATCGGCACTTTATTATTCTATCCTGAGGGCCTTTGCGGTCTCCTCGAAACCATGTGTCGAGAGGAATACGAAAGCGAGTTTACATGTAGCCGGCTGGAGATGTGAGAGAAATAATTTTAATCTATTATATACCTTTAGGTGGTTTAGCAGTTCTAGAAAATCCTTAATGGTAAGTATTGGTATTTCAGTGTTTTAAGGAGTGGCTCTAAGGATAGTAGGCTAGGTTGCATTTATTTTTGACATTTATTCCCTTTATCCCATTTAATCCTTCAGTTTGATGCTTGCTCTATTTTATGTGATGGGAGGTATTGTGTTGGGGCACCGTGACCTGGAGCAGGTGGCGATAGGCGGCTAGGCCCACTCCCTTCCGGAGGCCACCAGTCAGTGCTGTAGATGTTCACCTGGTGGGGAATGCAGCAGCTGGCTGGGCGAGCGCCGAGGAAGCGAGCGCCGAGGAAGCGAGCGGAGTTTTCGAAAGGCTGCCTGGCTTGGGGCTTCCAATAAAGGGGAAATGAAGCGCTCTTCAAAGGCTGTGCTTTGCTAATGCTCCGGTACCGGCGGAGATAATAGGTTTCTCTTCAAATATTAATGAGGTGCCAAGGATAGCCCTCGCCCACCTGAGCGACTCATGTTACCAATGTGTGTGTGTGTGTGTGTGTGTGTGTGTGGATTAGGGTTATATTACATTGTGGGACCAGATTATCCCCCACAATGTGATAAAAACCTGTTATTTTGATGTTGATTTGACAGGTCCCCACAAAGATCTGTGAATGCAATCAAAAAAGTAAAAATGCCAAAAGTCATGTATTTTGTTTGATTACTTATGGTTAAGGTTAGGACTGGGTAAGGGTTCAGGTCGTCATGCTGGGATTACAATTTTCCCCATATAAATGAATGGAAAGTCCCCACAAAGATATAATTACAAACCTGTGTGTGTGTGTGACTGTGCAGAGATCTCTCCTCCTGGGCAGTACACTGTACAATGCAGCACAGGCATGTCTCCCAGATCCTCTGTCTCATTACTCGCCTGTGTCCCCTAATTGGGCCAAGTCTCCGTGCTGCCCTCGCCTCGCTGCTCCCGCCGGCCTTTTGAAGTCCTGGCCACCTCCTTGTTGTAATTGCTCCTGATGCCACACACACCCTCCGCTTGATTAAACACAAGGTGATCAGCCATGGGTGACGGCGCCCCTTGTGTCTTGGGAGGTTAATTAGCGGTTATTTTTTAATTGACTTGTGGCTCATGGGGGGCCACGCTGATGTTGTGTTGGAGTGATGGTGTCAGGGACTGGATATGGATGCCAGAATGTCATGTGTTGGGACACTTTTGAAAAACATGGCACCCCTGTCCACATTTGAGGCTGTTCTGAGGCCCCAAAAGCATAGAATACAAAAAGTGTGTACAGTACTTCCATTATGCCAAGACCTTGTTCTTTTTAAATTCAACCCAATGACACATATTATTCACGAGATAATCTGAATACTGCCTCCTGAAATTTTCCAGCACAGTCACATGTGTGTACACACGCACAATGACACCCTAGACACATCTATCAGTGCGTGTAGGAACAATTTTTTTTATAGTCCAGGCACTGAAATCCTTAGAAGTAAAACCATTTCATTTTCAGTCGTAAAAAAATCAGCAAACTAAACCCAAGATTATTTTTTAGTTGGACAGACTAATCATCTAATTCCAGACACTAATTCCACTTTGTTTTTTTTGTTTTTTTTTTGATGTGCTTTGCATTTAGAAATTTCACAACTAGGTGATATCACTGTCATGCTTAAAAACATAAAAAGGCTGACCCTCAAGTGTCTGTCCCAGCAGTAAGCTTTACAGTGGTAGTACAGTACGTGGTTAAAGAAAGAGCTGCACTCCTTACTCAATGCGGGCATTACGAGTGATAGTCTCATCAAATCAGGGCACTGTTCAGTGAACCGTATGTCCCCATCTTCCTGTTATCTCAGCCTGCCTTGGAGTCTGAGTGACAATGAGCCTTGATTGCCCTTATGTGGTCCAGGACTCTGATTGGTCAACAAAAAGCTAGCTCGTTCCCCCCCCAGCATTTGTAGTGGTGCAGGCTGCTCAGGAATGTCTTGCCGCTGTAAGACAAGAGACATTCTCGCCAGACATGTTTTTTGTCATTAAAGAGGCTCCCTGATGATGAAACATTGTGAAGAGGGATGCAACCTCCGTCTCTTGTCGGGCTCAAAGTTAGCAGGAGCCGAGGCGCTCTCCAGCACTGCCTACCTGACGAGGTCGGCCAAACATAACGCTCACCGGGAAGACGAAACATATAAATATACTGCTTTGTATATTTATTCATCCATATTTTATATCTGTCCTTTGTAGAAGTGTTTGATTTTTTTCATGACGGAACTACACTACTAACTAGCCGTGTCGAAGTGTTTTTGTTGTGTCAAGTACGTGCCGCTACGCGTGTGTGTCGTGCGAAATAGAAAGATGGCTGCTGGGATAGACACAGTTACCGCGGAGATTTTGAGATAGATGGAAAAGAGCAGGTAGGAAATCGGCAACTCCGAGATTCCTCATAAGGTTTCCGGAATTACATGTGGGTGGCCCCAGGCCAGGGATTAATGGCCGTATTTGGAAATGAAAATGAACGTCAGGGAAGATTGCTTTCTCGCCTCTAAACCAAACAAAGCCACTTTAAAGATGTTACCGGGCTCTGATGGGACATATCAGCCAGATTGCATAGCGATCTCGTTTATTTACTTATTTTTGAGGAACCTTGGTGAGGTGACACTGTCTCATGGAGATGGTCGAGCAACCTCCTGACGCATCTGGTCCCCTTGGGGAATCCCTATGTCGTCAAACTTCGCTTGTCCCTCTTTTGAAGGTCCCGCCGAATTGGTTCCCAGCAGAAGCATGCGGCATGGCACGTTCAGCATTAATACCATCGTGCTGACTGTAAGTGAGTCCATATTTCACACGGGCAGATAGTACGGCTCAGATCGAGGATGAGGCTGCTGCCTGTCAGTGGGAAGCAGGAATCCTGGCCCTCGGTGGGGGGGGGGGGGCATGGAGTTCGATGCGACTTTAAACTTTGTGCTGTGAAAGCTGAGCTTTAAAGGGCCGGACCGGGACCGGAATATCCCTGGGAGATGCCCGTGCTCGCAGGCCTTTGCTCTGAGTCTGGATTTTGCCTTGTTGTGAGCACACTGCTGCTCTGACAGACAGGATGTGTATCTTTTCGTGGGGTGAACAGGTTCAGGAAGTGAAGGGTCCGGAGAGGAGGCAGGGCAGAGTGAAATGGAGCCGAATTGGCCTTGGTTAATGGCTTGATTTCGCTTTAGCTGCGTGGCCTTGTTGGGTTTCTGCCGTGGAAATCAACACCTTCCTTCCTTGCTCTTCGAAGTAGATCACCTCATTATCTTCCATCCTCAGAGTCACGTTCCACGGTGCTGTTTCTACTGAGTCTGTTTTGTAAACACTGGCGTATGTTTGATTGCTGTTTGTGTTCATTAGAAGGAAGCGCGTTATTCTATTAGAGCGAGATCGCTATCCTTGAGTTGTCCTCGTTTGCGTGTCACTCTCCATTTCTGTGTCGGATCAGCCTGGCTCTGGAGAAAGCCCAAATAACGCAGACGCACGTGCGTGTGCATTCGGATTGTCAGATGTGAAGGATTCCTCCAGTGCACGCAAATGAGACAGAGGGAGAGGTGGGGAGGGTATGGGGGGAGAAGGAAGATTATTAGAATTACTGGTGCAGTGCAAAGAAAAATAGCTCCGCTTCTGATGAAATAAATAAAACAAAGTCATGCATTATTAATGCTGCAGAGCCGGTGATAAGCAGCGTGTAGTGGGTTTAGATGAGGTGTAACTGTGAAAGCGATCACGCTGACAGAAGCGGGATACGTGCGGGGGGGGCTCCATGGGGGGGATACGAGGGCTTTGCAGACCCCCCCCCCCCCCAAAAAAAAAATAAAAATCTCAGTCTGTGAGTGACACTGTTGTTTTCCTTACAGAATGTCAGGCTGTCCTCAAACGGACTCCATCCTGACAAGGATTAGCTATAAAAACACCTCCACAGCCACAAATAATGTTACAAGCCAAATTCTTTAAAAAAAAGAAAAGAAAAAAAAAAGTCTCATTTTACTCTACTGGGACTTCTCAGTAGTCGTTCTAAGACCCTTTGCCCTAACTAGAACATTTCACAATTCTGGTGCCATTTCTGTTCTTTGAATTTATTCAGTGGGTTTATACTTTACCCTGTATAAAGCAATAATCTGTGAATGTGCTCCTCTGTTGGCCAATCAATCTAGGGATTCATCACTGTTAGTATTATAAGCGTTAGTTGTTTTGCAGTGGGTTATAAAAGCATTAAGTGGAATTGCAAAGCTCTGGATAACAGTCAATGAATCACAATCGCCAAGTACAAAAGGGATTTGTTTTGGTGCGGCTGGTGGCATGAGATGTACAATTAAACATACAGTCAAGACAGAAGAACCAAACATAATAAACAGGATGAAAAATAAAGATAGAAGTACTAATAGCAACACAAATGTATAAAGGTGAGACGACCAGAGGTGGATGATAGAAATGACTTCTACAAGTACAAGTGATGACTGGTTGAGAGCTAAGGTATGTTTCTCTTTGTGGTGGACTGTGGGGGGGGTGGCGGATGTGAGCTGTGCGGAGCTGACCGCTGGAGGCTGGGAACTGAAGGAGAGACTAATACAGATGACTGGATCCCTACAGCGGCCATGAACATTCTGGAACATTCAGGGGGCCCAGCACTGTATTCAGGCCACAAATCTACCATTAGGGCCCCCCCGCTAAGCGACATCTACTGGAAATGACATATGGAAAATTCTCTGTGCCGCAAGACACGTAGGTCTTCAGACTGAAAGTGCCCACCCAAAGCGAGGGGTTCAAGGTGACGGTTGTCAGGGGCCCCAGTGATTTCTAGCTGTGCCCCTGGCATAGTGGCTTCACGTCTCCAGGGCTGCAGGTTTGATTGGCGTCCCAGCTCTGGCCGGAGTTTACAGGGCTGCTCTCATTCTGCATTTAGCGAGTGATTATGAAAAACTGATGTGGTTGTCTTGGGGATGAGTGGTCTGGAGATGGATGCATACGAATGTTGTCGTATTCCACTCGTGTGTTGCGTGAAAATGTAAATATAATTGGAATAGCACCATCTTTTTGTTATCAGAGGAATGTAATCCAATTCCACTTACAAGGCTTCATGTTAGGGTTTCAATATTCTGCAATGTTTCACAGGTTTATTGAGAAACATATCAGAAATGGAATGATGAGAAAGGTGATTGCAATTGTTTGTAATGATTTGTACCACATGTTCCCTATTCTAGGATAAGTGCTTAGAGGATGGATGTATGGATGGATGTATGGATGAATGGATACTGTATATGGATGGATGGGGAATTCTGCTTTTGTTTCAGGGATAAATCAGCAACTTGCTAGATTACTCTTTTTTTTTTCTCCCCACCAGTCCAATAGTATCCTTCCTTGCTTGTCTGTACATGGCAAGGAACATAGGGAAATAAGAGTTTCACCCACAGGAAATCCCCCATATCAGATGGTTCTGTTTGCCAGGACGCCCCTGCTCTCCTACAGAATACCCTGGCTCTTTTCAGATACAATTGGCCACCACTGGGTAGCAGCATATATACTGAGAAATGCAAGGTGCCAAGCAGGGAGACCATAAGATTCCAATAGGTGTTCTGAAGACCAAACACCCTGAATCACAGATAAGACCAGATGCACAAGAGCAGCCGTCTGCTGTACGAGGAGCATGTCTGGGTAACACTTTAATCCATAATCGCAGGGAAGAGAAGATTCTGCTTCATCCAGAGGTATTCGTTAGTTTAACGAGCTGTTTCAGCGCTATGTGTAGTTGGGTTTATACATATTTTATGGGCACGGGAAGACATACGGCAGCTGGGTATCGCATTTCTCTGTTTTATAATAATGGAGGGTTTGAGATAAAAAGGCCTTGAGGGACGAGATTCAAATTCAGATGAGGCCCCTTGATAGTAGTACAGTTATCGTAAGAGACGCGGGAATATCACTCCAGAAAGTGCCAGTAAAACAGGCCCATCATGGTGTTTTTGTTTTGCAGATGCCAGTGCCCACCGCAGTATGAGGGTCCAGAATGCCAGCAGACCAAGCACAGTTTCCATGGCAACGGCTACGCTTGGTTTCCTCCCATAAGGCCATGCTTCGAGAGCCACCTTTCCCTGGAGTTCATTACGGAAGTCTCTGACGGGTTGCTGCTGTATGCCGGCCCCATGGCACAGTTGCAGGCCTGGGACCCCGAGGACTTCATAGCCATAGGTACTGAACCCTCGTGGTCAGAACTGGGCCAGCAGATACTGGGCCAGTTAACCGAAAAAGCGTAGTACAGATGACAAGAGATGGCCAATACATATGGGCCTGATCACTGGCAGATTCATGCAGAAAACCCAAGTAATAATGAATACCGACACAAATAATGGTGCTACCAGTGGCCGGAACAATCCAGAACATCAATAAAGATTGACGCAAAGGATCAGGGAGAACCAAAGACACAAGGTCATAAGATTAAGATTAAGATCTTTATTCATTCATTGATTCTTGAGGGGTGGGCTGTCTTCGCCCAGCAGCATAATGAGAGTGGGACGGATACAATGAATAGATAAAAATGAACAACTGAAGTTAAAAAAGAACAGAAAACTAAAGCGGAATACGTATCAAAGCACATACATATCAAAGTATGTTGATGCACGATTTGTTTTAGCATTGGCAAATACAATATTGGAATGGCATACAAAGTCATATACTATCAGAACAAACAATGTATTCCCAGGATAGCCCTGTCACCACCTCTCCAATCTAATCCATACTCCTCCCACACCCCACAACTGCTACAATCCTTAGTCCCCCCTATACACAGTCTCCACTTCTCCAAAACAATCTTTATTGACTGCCCAATTTTGTGTGACTTGGCTCAGTGTGGTCAGGTTCACCAGCTCAGAGTCTAAATAGTTCAGTTCTTCTTGTGCTTTGACTGGTTTGTTTCCTTGATTGAAAGACTCAAACAGTTGTTCCACATTAACATTAGTGGCACATGCATGATTAGAGGAGACTGACTAATCAGCACACAGTAAGTGAAAGTTGCAGTGAAATCCAGGTAATTTTAATTGAAATGGCAGTTTAGAAATCCTGTCTTAGCTCAAAGTGTCCTCCCTGACATGAATGATCTGATCACCCCATTTGTGTACCCCTACTTAGTGACACTATTTTTGGTGCAATTTGTCTGAAAATGAGTTTGGCCTCATAATATCACCATTACAGTGTTCCTGGGAATTTTGAAAAAGTCCCATGAAGTACTTTTAAAGTTACTATGTTCTAAAGTGGCTTCTACAGCTGCCCTTTCTTTCCTTTGCTGCCAGCTACCACTGATACTTCAGTTTTGATATGATTTGTCTTTAATATGAAATCAGGTGTAGAAATTCATCCATATAATATTTTTGGAGTTATCACAGGGCTGTGTCTTCCTCGGTCACCCTTCCCTGTCCTACCACTAGGTGGCTTTGCATTAGTGCACTTAGTCTCAGAATTTGATCCAGATCTTCACCCATCAAATTTCTCTGCAAAGTTTGACAAAGATCCGTGAAATACTTTTTAAGTTATTGTGCTAAAGTGATAAATGTCTCTGGCTATGGACCATTCCAAAGTAATATGTATTCCCAATGAAGGGAATATAATAATCAATAAATAGCTGTAGCCTCTTGCAGAAGTAATATTTACAGATATGAATATTTACAGATATGAGTATGAAACCCAGTAACATTCAGCACTTATGGCTTGGAACAAATATGAACATAGAAGAAAGTACATAGGAGACAGGCAGCATGACGGAACTAATCAAGTTTTTGGAAAATAAAAATAAAAGTTCATCTTTTATCAGGAAATGAAGATGATGGACACCTGTGAACTAGAAATATAATATAAAACAGCTCCTATCATTTTTGCTGGTGACAGTGACAGGCCCTTTCAGAAGGAATGTAGCCAGAGTAGAGTGCCTGGCGGTGGCTACACCCCAGTCACTGTTGGACAAGGGGAGCTGAGAATGTAGGCAGAGAGAAATCAAAGTCAAAGCTACAAAGTGAACAGGGGGAGGGAAAAACCTCAGCCGAGCGGCACTGTTCGGCTTTCTGTTTTTTGAAAGAGGCAGAGACCCCCAGCGGCACGTCTGAAGCAGCACCAGGCTCCTGTGACCAGCTGGGCGGGGGCTGCCACAGCCTGGAACCGCACATCACGCACACGCTGCTTTTGACACCTGCCGATGTTGCGAATTCACAAGCGCTGTGTCGCACCACTGCTTCAGCGGCATCGGGAATCTGCAACCTCAGGTCCCAGCAGATTGTGACGGGAAGCGTCCCTGTGATTAATTCAGCCTTCCCTTCAAGGAATTGGAAGAGCCGCAAATTTACGTCTCTCTCTTTTGAGGATGTGACTGGATTTGGGTCAATCCCTGATGTGTTTTTTTCAGTATACAATATAGCTAACATCTGACATGTTCAGCAAGGTTACTTTGTGTGTGTGTTTGTGTGGGTGTGCGTGTCTGCATTTGTGTACTTTTATATGTTTTGTTTACAAGTGCATTTGTGCTTGGTCTGTATCTTTGTTTGTGTTTTTCACACATCACCCAGTCACAAAGGGCTCCCCTCGTGCCTCCTCAGGTGTTTCAAAAGCTACATAAATAGCTAGTGACTAGAGTTAGAAGGCTGTAGCTAGTTGTTACATAAGAAACTTATTTATTTAACATTTAGTGTGGTGACTGTTTGTGGCCAGTTGGGGCCCCCCAAACCTCGCAGGGGGCCCCACACAAATGCATGGTATGACTGGTGGTAAACAATGCTGCTGCTCGTCTTGGTTATAGGCATGCAGGAGCCATGATGGTCAACGGCAGATGCCAGTTCTTAAGTTTAAAAGGGGACAGAGGGCGAGAGAATTATATAGATCCAAGATTAATTTTTTTCCTTCCCAATTTTCAGTGTGTTAGAGATCTGTGACCATGTCCAGGTGGTTGTGGGTTCAGATTTTTTTGGCCTGCAGAGTAATGATATCGCCACTGAGCCCTTGAGCAAGGCCCTTAACCCCAGCCTCCCCAGGGACTGACCCTGTTCCCTGACCTCAAGCCCTCCTCCTTTAGCAGCTGCTAAATAAACATATAAAACCTTAATGGCATCTGCTGTATTTGCCTTGAGCTGAGGGATATAAAAGACACCCTGGAGACCCAGCCTTCAGAATTAAAGGCACTGTTAAAGGGATATACAGCCTAAAGGAACCTTATGATATGCTTTGATTGATTTCATTAACGTGGCAAGCAGGGTTTGGCGCTTCCTGCGAATCCTTCCTGATCCGATCATTTTTCAGAGTGACAGTGTCCTGTCCTGAGGTCTCCTCACCCAGTGCCATACAGCCAGCACCTTGACCATTTTTGAGAGAATCCAGATCAAAAACTGTACTGTTGGTTTTCTTTTCGGCCAGTCTGGACCCGCCTTTCCCATTGATGCCGCGGCTGCAACCTTGGGGAAAATGTCTCATTGTGACTCCCTGCCTTCTCTCTACAGTCACTTCCATTAGGTCTTTAAGTTTCAGGCTGAATGGAAGCACCTCAAGGCCTTCAAAAATAAGTCATGCACAAAGGAGACACCAATCACGCCACTGGCTGGAGCAGGGCTGGACTGGGAGTTCCACAGCAGAATGGGCACAGGGACAGAAATGCAGGGCTTTGTATACTCACCAAATACTACTTTCATGTTTTTTGTTGCCCGTTTCTAACTGGAGGGAGGTGCAGAATTAAATTGTGATGTTCCAGGCTGTATTTTATGGATATAAGCAGATCCCAGTTTTCCATTTTGTGTGTCTGCAGCAGTTTTTAAAAAAATGTTTATTTAAATCATCCTGCCATCCGGGCTTCTGTGTCAGACCCAGATAGAAGCAGGTTTGGGAAACAGGGTTAATCCTCACCTCCAGCCTCTTCTTCTGTGACTGGGGGACAGATTTTGTATGAAATTGGAAAAGAAACAGATAAAGAACTGTCAACAGCAGCTTAAATGCAGATTTAAGGCAGAGTCGTGTGGGAACTTTAGTACTCTAAGCTCCGCTCTGATTCTTGAGGAATATTTTTCTTTTTGGTTAAAAACAAAGGTATATCAGTTGAAAACACTCACAGAGTTGATTTAACCCATGTGGAATACAGTCCGCTGATGTCACGTTGAGTTGAAGAGGACGTCCTGACTTCTGGCAGATAGGGGCGTGTCTCTGACAGCCTTTCCTTGTTGAGCGGGTGATTTCCTCCAGAGAGCTGGCGCACTCTGCTCAGAGCGGCTCTTGGCTTTTACGGAAACCTCTGATGTCTGGTGTGTATCACACGGATTCGGCTGGCTAGTCTCTGTGTGAGCTCTGCTGCCCATGGGGATTTCTGAGTTTCAGAACAGCTGTAAGAGGGCTGCGCTCTGTTCTTGGCTAAATCTCTTATCAAGTCCAATGTCCTCTAAACTCTAAGACACACCCGAGGTGGATGGTGGCTTTGAACTCGTAGACACAGCCTTGAAACTGGAAGACACTGTCCTGGTATTGGAAAATTTAATTTCACCTGGTTTAAATGATGCAATGTTTTTACTTATTGTATGGCTTTATTCAGACTTAAGTAATTGTTAACCCACTTATCTGCATATTCTTATTGTAGCAGGTTCATTGTCTTACCTTAACTGTTCAAATAAAGTCAGACTTTATTGTAGTGTTATTCAGGCTGTTCCATGTTTTTGCTCCCTCCCAGCTCCCTGCCAGACAGACCACATGGGAGGGAGCAAAAAGGCAGACTTTCTGCGGGTCCCCGAGGACTGCATTGGGAAACACTGCTTTATTGTTATTTCAATAGTCTTACAGTGAATCAAATTTCTTTTGTCAGATGCCTTAAAGACTGCTTTACACAGAACATGACAAGTTAGACTCTAGACAATAATGAATGAATATATATATATGCTGTATATAGTGCAAGTTTTGACTTGGGCTGTGTAGTTGGATGGATCATTTGTACATTATCTCACTTTAGAAATGTGCATGTAAACAACTTGCAGTGGAAGAGCAGTGGGTGTGTACAGAACAGTGAGGCAGTTCTTCCAGTGTTATGTGCAACTGATGCAGAAGGTGACAGTTGCAGATGGTTGATAAACAGTTAACAGATAAACTGTTGGGTCCCTCTTGTGACTTTTCGGTGAGATTATCTAATGCCTGCTTAGATCACTACCCATGCATCAAGTCATTTGGCCATAACTCACAGAATTAAGGTAGAGCTGTACTGGCCAGAGCTCTTTATATTTTTGAAGAGGGCCCCTGAAAATTCAGTTGATATGATTTTTTTTTGTCTTTGCCCTGCTTTACAATGAGTAAGTGCTCAAACTTTCCAGTTGCTCTCGTACGCCCCTTGCAGATTTGAGCTTGGCAGGCAGAGGGAACCCTCAGTGTGGTGCGGGACTCAAAAGCAGAGGCTGCTTTGTCAGGCCCCAGTTTTTGGGTGATTTTTGAGGAAGAGGAGACTGGTAGTCGGCTGACGTGTTTGTTACACCTTGTGTGTTGGGCTGCGAGGGGAAAAACTCAGCTCATGGCTTGTGTGTGTGTGTGTGTGTGTGTGTGTTGGGGTGTGCTCTTGAATGCCTCTCACACCGACTGTGAGGACTGGATGTCCACGCCGACACTCTGCCATGACCTCAGGTCCTCTGGGCATGCTGATCCCCTCTCTCTCCCCAGAGCTCATTAACGGCACGCCAACGCTGAAGATAAACCACGGCTCTGGCACGCTGGTGCTGCGGTTGCCTGGCAACGTGAACACGGCAGACCGACGGTGGCACCGGCTGGACGTGAGAAGCGACGGCAAGGTGGGCGTCGCTGTAGCTGCAGCACGGCTCAGGGGAGCGAACCAAAACCCAACGGGCGTGATGTCAGGGTCAAAGAAGTGAAAGAAAGTAATGGTGTCAAAGAGTTGGGAAAAAAGTTTGGAAATTGCAGTTTTCTGGACTTCCTGCTGTGGTTTCAGGGCAGTATCAGCCACATAGTATTTATTCATGGGGGTGATGTGTGGCTCAGTGGTTTAGGATGCTGAGCTTGTGATTGGAAGGCCCTTAACTCACACTTGCTTCACTGGCTGACACTGCTTCCTCAAAAATGCATGTTACATTCGTTCAATCTTTATTTCCCGTCCTGGCATCATCCAAAAGGAAGTGCGCTTCACGTTGGACCGCTGCACCAGTGGTAATATCCTGGAGATGGAGAGTGTCAGCAACTGGGTAATGACCAAGGACCTCTCAGCCTGTGAAGTCAGTGGGGTGACGCCCAACCTGGACAGGTAAACCTGTGTCTCTCACATCCCCTTTCTGCCCCTTTAAGCCAGCCTGAAAATCTTGAATATATAACTCACTGCTTGACAGTAAACAAGTGTGCGTATTAAAATCAATTTCTGTGGAGTTTGCCAAGTTGTCTGGTGCAAGTGTCTGATGTTAACCTCTGCCCATTTTCAAACTTTTGGTTATGTAAGACATTTAATCTTTAAAGAATCAGTAAATAAATCATATTTGTTACCTTTGATCACTTGAGTTCCAGTTCATCCAAGAACCTAGAGAGACTTTTTTTCATATATCCATTTTCAAATTCTTCATGGTAGCATGGATGTATATTCCATTCCTTATTCTCTATCGTTCTCCATGATTTATATCGCTTCTCCATTTCCCCATCATTCCCCGAGATTTCCTTGACATCCCTAATGCACTTAATGCAATGTTCCTTTTTTGCCTGTTCAGCTTTGTATGAAGTCCTTTGAATTAATTGATCCAATGTCTCCGTGGTTCATTGCTGATTCTGGAAGCGGACGGCTTGACAGGCTGATATATTCCTTCTCCCTCATCAATTGCTGACTACTCCCACCCCCACTGCCCCTCCTCCCCACTTCAGGTACCTGAACCTGACACAGGTGCTGCAGCTGGGCGGAGTCAATGAGAACCTGCCCTACATCTATCCCCAGCTTCAACACAAACACTTCACTGGATGCATCCGTAACCTTGTGGTGGACAGCAAGGTACAGCGCCCTCTGGTGGCCAGTCCCCGCTCTCATTGCTGATTGTTGTTCTTTAGATGCGTAGCAGGTTACAGTTACTGCATAGCTTCACCAACAGCTTTTATCTGTGTGAGAAAACTGCCTTCTCCACCAGCTCCAGCTTGGCCTTACATCCCACTGAAAGAGGCACCCTTGACATTTAGCTCTTCCTTTACACTCTTTTGGAGAGGTTTAGAAGAAGCCCTCAAAGGCATGAGGCAGCTTGTAAAGATGACAATGCTAACGTTGTCCGTAAAGCACTGGAATAAACGGCCTGAGCGGTTGCTTGCCGGCCGGGTGCAGGCCCATTATTCCGGTGAAATGAGTGGAGATGAAAGCCGAGTGGCGGAAGATAAAGGAGCCCCCCGGCGCCCCGTGAGGACGTGGGGCTGCATCAAGGCCCCCGGGCTCTTTCAGGCGAGCCACAATGCAGAGGAGGAGCCCACTGAAATCAAAGCAGGATATTAATGCTGAAATGTTTTCATACCAATGGCTGTTCCACTCTTTCCTTTCCTTCTTTATATCTTTTCCTCCTGATCTGATTCTCTTCTGCACCCCCTTTGCCCTCTTGCCCTGCTCATTTCCCCCAGCCTTGTGTTTTTCTGCAACTGTACCTTCCTGCCCTCTTTGCCCCGCAGTTTTACAACCTGGGCTCCCCTGCGGACTCCCAGGGCAGCGCCCCTGGCTGCCTGCTGACGGATGGTAACTGTCTGACCATGGGGTACCCATCCTGTGGTCCCAGGGGGCGCTGCCAAGGCGAATGGGGCTCCTTCAGCTGCCAGTGCGTCCCTGGGTACAGCGGGCACCAGTGTGAGCACGGTATGTCCCCTGGGGGCCGAGACCGAAAACTAAAATCAGCGATGAGGGAAAAGCCAGGGTGTTATATAAAAGTGTAAAGGCCTTTATCCTCAGAAATCTCCCTTCTAGCGGGATGGCTGGACATTTAAGCTGGATGCCTTTATGATAAGGACTTCCCTCAACGGTACAGCAGCACACTGCTCTGGGACATTCGCTCATGAGTCTGACTGCAGAACCTGAGTGATCATCCTCACTTTCCGCTATTCCTAAATTATCGAATATTCTGGCAAAGACCTTAGAAAAACTGATTTTCTAAAAATTTAACTGCCCCCAAGATATTGTAAATAATATCTATGTGCCAGAATGAAAGTGAAGCAATATAGACAGCAGTGGTGTTCACCACCATTCAAACCATGCATTTGCATGGGGCCGCCAAGGTTTGGGCCTCCTGTTGGCCCCCAACAGTCAATACACCATATATTTAATAATTCCATCCATCCATTTTCTGTAACTGCTTGTCCTATTGAGGGTCAGGGGGGTCCTAGGCTACAGGCACAAGGCAAGGAACAACACAGGATAGGGTGCCAACCCATCACAGGGCACACTCACACACCATTCATACCTTTGGGCAATTTGGTAACTCCAGTTAACCTCTGCATTTTTTTGGATTATGGGGGGAAATTCCATGATGACATGGGGAGAGAATACAACTTCACACATGGAACCCCTGGGGGGTGGAGGGCCTTGAAGTGAATTTTTGAGTAGGACCCCAGAAACAACAATCTTGTCCCTGGATATTTGTTTTCTGGATGTATCTGTGCACTGCTCTAGTTGTCAGACTGTAGATTTTGTACAGCTAAAGACAGTTCTATAACACAGAAAACATCAAAATGTCCCCCAATGATAGATAAAGCGTGTTTAATCGTGTCCCCGAAAGCCTTGTGAAACGGAGACGGTCGAGCCTTTCATCGCCGGAAGAGTGACACGCAGGAAACTCGGGGGAGCTGAAACATGCGATTAGGGGCAGAGCCCCCGCCACAAAGCTGCTGCGCAGGATGCATTGGCCACGGGAAATTTCAGCTCTGCGTGAGATGGGATTAAAACTATTTTTATCGGGGGTTTTGATGTCCGCGATTTTAGTGCCGCGACGCGCAGAAATGAGCCGCTGTCATGGCTGCGAGGAGATAGGGGCACCGGGAGCGGTGAACGCGGCCATGGAGTATCCCCCACCCCCCCACGGTCTCCTGGAACACGCAATTCCAGAACACGGTGTCACCAGGCGGCCGTGTCTGTCGGCGCTGATGCTGCAGTATTACATTCCTTCACTGGAGTGTAATGGAGGAAGGGGGCAGGCTGGGAACCTGTTTATTCTCTAGCCATCCCTGTTCCCGTTTCAGTATGTGGTCTTTGCAAGGAGCTTAATCAAATATGTGTTTATACTGCAATGTCTCGCCCTGAAGACCTGAGCATTTCCTGGAGATTGATCAAGACCAATGCATGGGTGGGCATGTAGCTCAGAGGGTCAGGGATCTGAGCCCATGTCAGGAAGGTTTTTGGTTCAAATGTGACTGACTGAGTACTAAAATATATTAGCCACGGCCCCTCGACCCCAGCTGCTCCAGGGATACTCAAGGGATGCCTTCCTTCCACCTGTATCGCCGCCCCCGCATGCCGTAGTGAGTCCGTCATGTTGATCGGCAGGTGACCCCAGTGCTTTGTCACCCGCAGAGGTACCCGCCTACTCTTTCGACAGCGAGAGCCACACCCACCTGCAGCTGGCATTGCCACTCCCCGTCCGCCGGACCCAGGTGCAGGTGCTGGTGCGAACCCGCAAGCCCAGTGGTACAATCCTCAGCCTGGCCTCTGCAGGCCAGCGGGAGTACCTGCGGCTGGAGGTGAGTGGGGGGCGGGGTGGGGCGGACCCAGCAGTGTCCGGCTGCTGGGCTGTGAAACCGAACTGGCATTGCCCAGTCTTGCCATGCAGGTCGATTCATGTTAACACTAAACAGTGGCTTCACTGCTGGGGCAGAGATCTCGCGTCTTACCGAATTTGCACGATGAATCTGCATTTGAGGTGCTTCCTGCTTTACGAAGGGTCTCATATGCGTTGATTGTCATTTTGGCAGGGTTTCCTTGAGCTTCTTTCTGGTGTCCATCATTATTGTTTTCTGATCACTGATCACTGCCGGGTGAAGGGCGTTGCTCAGCATAGAAGCTCTGGGGGGGGGGGAGAAGTGTGTGACGCATACAGGCCTCTCCGCCCATCCTCAGGTGTCCCGTTTTCCCTCCCTGTTTAGCACAGCGAGTCGCACTCTGGTTAGCCCTTTTGTTCTCCGTCTCCGGCCTCGATGAATACATTCATTGTGTCCACCCCCCCGCCGCACTCTTGCACCCCCACCTCACTGAATCTCGATCCCAGAAAAAGAGGGACAGCCATTTCCATAATAGCTGCCACACTCAGCATTTACCAATGAGCCCCATGCAGCTCCAGCCCCCATCCTGCCCACCGTGACCAAGATGGAGCTCTTGCGCGTGGAAGCCGCCCTGATGGTCATGTCTTTAAATGCAGTAGCAGGCACCCAGGCTTGTTATGGGTTTAGTCTCCTGTTCTAACTGGTGGACTCTGAGGTGTCGCTTGAGTGACTCATCAGATGAATGTTCCAGATCCATGTGAATCACACTCACCCTCCTCATGCCCCCCCGGAATCCGCTTCAGGTCCCAGCCCAGCCCGCATAGGTTTTCTATGTTCCTGCTCCTTTTCCTGCCAGAGACAGGAGATCCTGCCTGCATCACATGCTGCTACATGGGGCCGTTGGCAGCCGGCGGACTGGAATGCCGTCCTGCTCAAAGGGCTGCTTCTCGCTCTGATGCTGATGCTTTCTATTCGGCTTTTTCCCAGCAGAGGGGTGGCAGG